CAGGCTGACTCTCGCTGTGCATGGAGCCCAATGCTGGGCTCAGTCTCACAACTGTGAGATCATGACTTGTGTGGAAATCAAGAGTCGGACACTTAACTACCTCAGCCACCCAGGTGCCCCGAGATTCCCTCTTTTCTAGTGCCTGTGAAACACAAGCAAAAATTGATCTATTAATTAGACCATAAAAAATATATATGTAGAAATTATAGCACCTTTCTGGAAGGCTAGTTTGCAACACATATTGAAAGGCTTAAGAAAATACATGATGGTTAATCTGGTAATTCCCATTTTATGAAAATTTATCCTGACTAAATCATCAAGAAATGCACAAAAATTCAACTATAATTCTTATTGCAGCAGTGTTTAAATATTGAAAAACTGGAAACAACAAATATCTAACAATGGGGGAGGGTGATCAAATAAATTATTTTAGCTGTATACGATGGAATTCCTTTTAACCATTAAAGAATGATGTAGAAAAATATTTAATAAATTAAAACAGGGAAATAGTCTACATTATGTAAGAAAAGCAGAATACAGAACACTATAGGCCCATCCATCACACAGGAACCTACACACATAGAAAAAAGTCTGGAAGGATATGCACAAACCAAAATGTTAAGAATAGTCATCTCTGGATTGGTGGAATTAGGATTTTTATGTTCTTCTTTTAGGTCTTTATTCTCTACGTTGAACATGTATTATTTTTGCAATAAAAAAATAACAAATGTTATTTTTAAAAAACACCTCTCTGAGAAAAAGCCAGACAAGTTTGAAAAAGTTAACACAGATGCCTCTGAGCTGTGTATTCCGTGTCAAAACCCATTTACCTGACTGTACCTTTGCTTCGCTTGCCCCCAGGGAGACACATCTGGAGACTACAGGAAGGTCCTGCTCATTCTCTGTGGAGGAGATGATTAAAATACAATCCAAGAAGGATAGGAGGATTCCCAACACTTTGAATTTTTTTTTAAGTTCATTTTTCTACACTGCTATTAGCATTATCTCATTGCTTATTTCCAATTAAAACACCTACAGATGCTTCCTAGGATATAGACTGACTGTATTATTATTCATCTATAATTACTCATTATGATGCTTTAAAGCTGTACTTGCATTTCAAAGCTTATAAAACCTAAAAGGAGAGTTAAAATTAGAAATAAAAATGTACTCCATGTTTTTAACAGATTTCTTCCTCATCTGTGTTTCACAGAAATTGGAATGTATTAAATTTATTTCATGGTTTTGGTGAAAAACTATTAAAGTGGAAGACTGAAAGACTGTCCTAAAATCACTCTGCTTCCCTAATTCTAATCTCAAAGTGGCTAGTAATTTCTTGACTTGAAATTGTGAGCATCTAGTTCATAAGAATATCCAATTTGCTATTTTACGTGGTCATACTTGGAAGACATCCAGTAATCTCCTTTATTTAGATTTTGTCTATACTGTTAGTTGATCTCTACAAAAGTTTGCATGGGAGACTTCCTTCTTCACATCTTACGTTAAGATTATTTACTCTCTCCAGCTTCAAGTATACCAAAATCAGCCACTTGTCTGAACAAGTTAAATTCTTTGTGTGCTTATACGGATCATATATGTGTGGTTAACAAACATAAATGCTGAACATTCCACAATATTATGGTTAAAATCTTAATCTAGCTGGAAGATGAATGGAAAAAAATTAAGTGTCGAACCAGGTATTATTTTGGTGATGGGGACAAATAATACAAATATTCTGAATTTACGTAAAGGAATTTTTTTGTGCTAAAAATATTTTTTTAAATGTTTTTCAATTTTGTTGATTTGTAGCAATTTACATTTGCATTGTGCCTTTCAACTCTAGAATTATTCTGAAGTTGTACTTGATTTTATTCAAAAGTTCAGTTTGTATACAACATGGAAAAATAATTTTAATAAAACATGGTATCTTTAAAATGACATATATTCTTTCCCTAATTGACTTTTCCACTATCTTTAAAAAACTGTGTCACTTAGTTTCTATTAGAAACTGCCATTAAGCAGCACCTGGGTGAATCAGTCAGTTAAGCGTCTGCCTTTGGATCAGGTCATGATCCCAGGTTCCTGGGATCGAGCCCCACATAGGGCTCACTGGTTGGTGGGGACCTGCTTCTCCCTCTCCCTCTACCTACCACTTCCCCTGCTTGTGCTCTCTCTCTCTGTCAAAGAAATAAATAAAATCTAAAAAAAAAAAAAAAAAACTACAACATTAAGAAAAAATAATATAGCCTTATGTACACTTATTGCTCTAAAACTAATGTTCACATATACCAAACACTACTTAATGGTATGAAATAATGTATTTATTCTCTGGAAATGAGTGATGTGCTCTGTTCTACTAAGTAGAACATTTGTATTAAGTAAGAATAATTGCCTTCTTTGTTCATTCTATAATATCGTATTTTGATGGATGAAATATAGAGATATTTTTTCAATTTGTTTCTACTTGCCTATTACAAATGCTTGAGTTATTGGTGAAGGCTATTTGTATGAATACTTAGTCATTCCGATTAATTATAGGAAACAATACTGCTGCTTTGATACTTACCTAGAAAAGTATGGAATCTCCAACTTTATTTGGCTTTGGAAGCATTGCATTACAAATTTTTGGTAGCTTTATGTTTAAATTATATATAACTTAATCAAAATTTTAATACAAATTGCATTTGTTGACTGGAAGCAGGATAAGGCCACCTTGGAAGAATGTTTGTTTATTGTCAAGAACAAGCATGACTCTGGAATATAATTGTGAGGCAACTTTGTTTTTCTCTCCAATTGTTCATCTACATTTATTCACGGACCTCTCTCTTCTGGCTTTAGGTGGAAATTCAGATAGAGGTTAGAGCTGGAACTTTTCTGGTCACTCTTAGGTTTTGAAAAGTCCTACTGTGCAGTCCCTAAAGTCATTTTAGTAATTAATATGTCTAGCCAAAATTCCAAACTTGATTTACAGTTGAGGCTTCTTCCCTTGTTTAGCTCTGGCCTATTGCCAGCAGGAATAAGGAATATGGTGGACTTCTCTTCTTTCTCCACCTCAGTTTCTTTCCATAAATGCAACCCAAACTTAGCCAGGGTTGTAGCAGGAAGGAGGAGAGTAATGGGGAGCAGAGAAGTTCTTACCTGACTGTTATTGCTGTAGTGGTAGAGGATCAGCACTTTTTTTTTTTTTAATGTTTTATTTATTTATTCATGGGAGTCAGAGAGAGAGAGAAAGAGAGAGAGGCAGAGGGAGAAACGGGCTCCCCACCTGGCAGGGAGCCCAATGCAGGACTCGATCCCAGGACCCTGGGATCATGACCTCAGCCGAAGGCAGACGCTTAACCATCTGAGCCACCCAGGCGCCCGGATCAGCACTGTTTAACATTGGCAGATATTTAAAGCTGATTCTTAGGGGCATTCTCCCGGGTTCCTTAATCAACCCCATCACTAGGAAACTACTCATCTTCTGTTCCTCTGGCAAGGCAAATGTATTCTCCTTTAACAGCCCCTAGGAACTTGATGATACCCTCAGGTGCTCTTTGCTGAAGTCAGTTTGTCCTTCCCCCCCAGGCCTCTAGGACAGAATCTAAGATGATCCCATGCTGGCTATCTTCTGGTGGCCCACACTTATTCCATGGGAAACACTTGCACATCCTTTGTGCTGACAAATTCTGGGCATGAAGACTGATCCCCTTGCTGCCATCATTCTCCATCCCTCTCCTCCCCACCCCCCACCAAGCTGCCTCAGCCAGCGTCTACTGCTGATGGGAGTATAAATTGGTAGAATCATTTCAGAGAACGATTTGGCAATAGCTAGTAAAGTTGTTAAGTTCCTAGGAAATCCACTTCTAGGAATTTGGTGAATCTTTGCACATGATGTTCATTGCTACTCTATAAGAACACTAACGTAGAAGCAACCTAACTCCCTCACAATAAACTGTGGGTTAGTGACACAATGAGCAGTGAAAATTAACTGGAGATTTGTCAACTGGATGTCTTAAAAGTATAATTTTGAGAAAGGTGCAGAATGATAGGTACAGAATGATTCCATTTAATTACATGCCTAAATGTTCTAAAGAACATATATTACTTATGGGTATAAGAACACGCATGGGAAAAATGATATACACTATTCTCAGGATAGTGGTTACAGTGGAGGGAGAGACAGACTGAGATGGGGGGAACTTCGTTCTATATTCTATTTAAAATAATGAATCAAAGCAATTTTAATTTAAAATTATACTGTGGTGGGTCCATAGGTGTTCATCGTATTACTCTTGAGTAATTCACTGTAAATACTTTATTTAATAAGTAGCAGAAGGGAGTCAGGGAGTGAAAGCTGGCTGTCCAGAGTCCATAGCAACTGCTGTACACTTCAGGCGGACAGCTGTAAATTTTGATCGGGCCTCCAGAAGGCACTATAAGCCCTGCCAGTCCCGGTACCATACCCTATCCAGACGTTCCACTGCCGCTGAGGAGTGCAGGGAACATTTGCCACAACCCGTCTAGGGCAGCAGAAGGCTGATGTTTAAGAAACACAAAGGCCTAGCAAACTCCACATTGTAGGTCCTCCTCCCTGAGGAAGCCAGGCCAAATCTCCGCAAGGCGTGATCCCAGAGAGTGGTGAGCTCTTCTAAGGAAGAGCCCAAACGGCACCGTCCTTTTTGCCTCCTGCCTAGCGCAGAGCCTACAGGTATCCGGAACTCAAGGAACCTTTGCGGAAAGAATCAATGAGGGGGAACTCCCGGTCGGGCCAATACAATGGGGTGTGTGGAGTAACGCTAAAATCTAGGTTGGCCTCAAAGCTCACGGTAGTGTGAGACCCAGGCCGACCGCAGGCCAGCAATCACCTACATGCCTACTTTATTCCCGGTTCCAGCCCGCGTCCCTTTCAGTGCAGGCTCCACCCACCACGCACACTCGTCTTTCCCCGCCCCTTCCGGAGGCTCGCCGCGCGCACGCGCGCTCCGGTCCGCGCTTTGTTGCGAAAGCTAGGGGGCGAGGTCCTGCGGTCCCGGCGCGCCGCGCGGCGGGCGGGGCGGAGGATGGAGGCGATAGCGTCCGCTGCAACGGTTGGGGCTGCGCGTGCGAAGGTGGCGGTGTAGGCACCCGGGCTGGGTGGAGGCCGGCGGGAGCTGGGCCATGGCGGGAGACGGTCTCCGTTGGGCTCCCTGAGGTGCGCTCCCTGAAGTCCCGGGGAGCCGTGGTCCATGGGCTCGCTGAGCAGCCGAGTGCTGCGCCACCCGGGGCGAGCCCGAGCCCAGCAGGAGCCGGGTTCTGGGGCTGGGGGCTCGACTCGCAGGCCGGAGACTGGCGGCGATGCGGCCGGCCACGGCTTCTGTTACTGCCCGGGCAGCCGCAAGCGAAAGCGGAGCAGTGGGGCCTTCTGCTACTGCCACCCCGACTCCGAGACAGAAGAGGATGAGGAGGAAGGGGACGAGCAGCAGCGGCTCCTCAACACCCCGCGCAGGTACGTGGAGGGACGCGCCCGCACCTGTTGGGCGGTTCCAGGGCCGCGCCAGGGGACAAGCCCGGCGCCGGGTGCACTTCGGGGTGTGGTGCTCCCCAGCGGGTTAGGAGCCGACGTGCCCTTGACTGGGAAACCTGGGAGCCAGCCTGATGCGGGGCGGATGGGGAGCGCTTGGGAGACGCTTGGGTTCTGGATTATAAACCACAGACGCTGTCCGAGTGGTATGGTATTACAGCCCCAAGATGAGGCTGGCAAACGCCAAGCCAGAGCTTGGGCCTCATTAAACCTTAGACTGGAACGGCCGGCTGGCCTTCCGTAATACACCTTTGTCCTCTCTGAGTGGGTGGCAGGAGAATGAGTTGTTGTGCATCCGGTTACCTTAAGGGCACCCCTACTGTCGTCCACCAGTGTAAAGGGAAGTGATTACATACGCGAGGAGTTCTCCTTAACTGTAAAGGTTAGGTTTATCAATAGTGTACATTTGTTCCTTACTAGGAACGAAGTCTTTCAGAGTCTCCAGTACTTGAACGTTGACCGGGGATGTGTGTAAGCCAGTGCTGCAGCTTGCTTAACCTTTTTTCAGAGTTGAGTTGAAAAACAGGATGTTTACTTGTGAATTAGAAAATTAGAATGCGTAGAATGTTTTCACATAAAGCAATCTGGTTGCTTTTTTTTTTTTTAAAGATCATCAGTGGGGTCACATAAGTGTAATTTTTTTAAATGAAACTTTAAAAAAAAGATTGAAAAACTTTGCTACACAAGTGTAACTTATTGTAAAATAAAAGTATTATGGGTAACCTGTGTTAATGGTTTGATATCTAAAGGTCTTTCATACAGTTTTATGTGTGAAAGCTTGTATTTATTTACAAAAATGGAACCACCGCCCCCCACCTTTTTGGAGAGTCAGTCTAGTATATAAAGAGCTCAGATTATGAGTTCTAGTCTGGATTCTGTGCTTAATAGCCTTAATTCCTCATAAGTGAAATGGAGATGCTAATACTTGCCTTTTAGGGTTTGACAAATACTAGATTGTGTATAATGCACAGTTCCTGGCAGTGTTGAGGTACTCAGTAAATGTTATGTTTCTTTGATAAATTGGCCCCCTTTATCATTACAAAATGTCTCACTTTATCCCTGGTAGTATTTCCACTATTACTTTCTTTTGATAAGTGTTTAAAAGGTATATCTTTTCCATTGTTTCCTTTTTTACCTGTATCTTTATATTTATAATACGTATCTTGTAGAGAGCATATGAGTTGGGTCTAGCTTTTTTTTTAATCCTTTAGGATAATTTCTGCCTTTTAATTATTATTTAGACCACTTATATTTAATGTCATTATTAAAATCTATGTCAGGGTCCATTCAAAAGAGAAATTATGCTGCAATTTGAACAGGGAAAATTTAATATAACATTTATTAGCAAGTAATGGGGAATTAACTACTGAAGGTAAACTACTGAGATAAAGAGATCTCTAAAAATATACAGGAATAGAGGATATAAGGGTGCAATCACAACTTCTCAGATTGAGACAGAATACCCAAGGAAGGAACAAATTTGGAATATAGCCATCTTTTTCCAACTGAGATTAAGATATTGGAGATGGTGTGGCTGTAGCCCACCCTAGTTGGTAGAAAAGTTTGCTGAGATGTGGTAGGCTAAGGCGGGCAAGCAGGCAGCTGCCCATTGGGATGCCAACAAACTTGCTTGGAGCCTGTCTGGCCGACAGAGCCAAAAATATTTACTGTCCAGATCTTTATAGAAAAACTTTGCCAACCCCCTGAACTACATGAGTATACTGGAATGGAAAGTCTTTAAAGCAAACCCTTATTAGAAAATACATTTAGAATTTAGTATGTTTTGTATCAGTGGAAGAGGCCTGGCTCTTCAGCCCAGCATGGGTGAAGGGTGTAAGAAAATATTAAGACCTAGAAATTTGAATGTTGGCACCAGTTATGCTCCCTGAAGGTTGTCTGATGTGCTCTCCCACCGACCAACTACTCCATGAAAAGCTTTGCCTTCCAAGCCCACCTTCCACTTCATTCACACCTTTTGACAACTGTATTTTTTACTTTTACATTAACATAACTGTTAAAACTCAGCTGTTCTGCAACCAGATCTTGGGTGTTTGCTGTGCCTAGACCATCTTTAAATTTTGAAACTTGGTAAACAGTATTTGTTGTTAGAACTATGTAAATACTGTTCGCTGCAAAGTCAAGTAGTGTGGTAAGATTATAAATGATACTTCCTGAGTGCAATGTCACAACTCCTTGTTTTTCTTTTTTTTTTTTTTCTCTTTTTCCTTGTTTTTCTATTGGAGAAATTTTCTAACCTCACATTTAAGTGCAGTCTATTTTCTAAGTTCCATCAAGTGCTCAAAGTCAGGCCCTGTTTTCATTTGTATGTTATTGCAATAGTTCCCTTTTTTGTATTGCTTTTTTATTAGAGTTTCTAACTGCCTCCCCCCTCCTCATCATTGACAAAAATATTCCTTCATTATATATCCAGGTTTTCCTATCTTTCCAAACACATTTTCATGGCATCCTCCTCCAAACCCAAGCCACCCCCCACCCCAAGGTCCCTTCATCTTCCTGTTTCATTCTGGATCCATTGCTCTCCAGGTCTGGGCTTATCCTGGGACTTAATTTTACCACATCTCTAGGATTGGATCTACTGTTTTCTGCAGCCTGGGTCTTTTTCTTTCTCACCCATTTTAGGGAACTGCATCCTTGCATATTTTCCTCAGAAAGGGTGCAAAAGGAGGTAATTTGTGCTTACCTAAATGTAAATTTAGTCTTTCACTTTATTCATCCTTTGGGTATGGAAATATAAAGTAACTTCGTGTCCTTGATGATACTACTTCATTGTCTTCTAGCCTACAGTGTTGATGAGAAATAGGATGCTGGTCTAATTCTCTTTTCTTTGTAGGTGAGGTTTTTTTTCCTCTGGAAATTTTGGAATTTTTTTCTTTGGTATTTTGGAATTTAACTAGAATGTGCTTAAGCGTGGGCTTTTTAATTGCCTCAGTACTTGGTTGATCCTTACAATCTGGAGACTAGTTTGGAGAAATTTTCTTCCATTAATTTCTTCCATGATTTCCTTTTTCCTGTTATCTTTGTTTTCTCTTTCTTGGACTCCTCTTAACCAGATTTTGGATTTCTTGGATTGTACCTCTTTCTCTTTTCTTTTTTTTCCTTTCTAGGTCCTTTTTGCTTTATATTCTGGGAAATTTCCTTAACTTTCTCAGTCAGCCTCTGTTTCGGCTTTGTAATTTCTGTAACCGTGGTTTTAGTCTCTAAGAGCTCTTTTTTCCCTTGTTTCCTTTATCATAGTATCCTGTTGTTTTATAAATGTAATAATCTCAGATATTTAGATATACTAATTTTAGGGTGTTTTAAGTTCTCTTTTCCCTAATTAATATATTTCCTCTGGGGCCAGTTTCTCTTTTTAATAGTCTTTAATCCTCCTAATTCTCTTCATGTTGGGTCATTCTTGGTTGTCTGTTTATATTTAAGAATGAAACTGGTTGTGTGTGTGTGTGTGTGTGTGTGTGTGTGTGTGTGTTCTAATTGAGTAAATAGATCTATTTCTACTAAGCCTTCCCTTTAAGTAGGAAGGCTGATCACTAAATGGGGTGGGGCATGCTTTGTTTTAGAGCAGAGATTCCCAAACTTTTTTTGTTCACAGCACCCTTAGTGTCTCAGTAATTTTTTTCTTGGTACCTCTGGTCCTAAGGAAATATCTCATAGTAAGGTTCAAACTACTTGCTTAATAGTAGTAGATAGCATGGTATCTGAAAGATGTTGCTGTGTTGTTTCCATTGAATATAAAATACTATACACGCATCCCTGAGTTTGATATGATCCTCCAGGTGCTTTGACACATAGTTTGGGGACCATGATTCGGGGTGAATGGGTTAAGAGCTCACAGGCTACAGATTCCTCAAATACCAGAATGAGGACTGCTTTGTCTGGGGTGTCAATACCTGCACTGAAGTCTTAGCTTTTCCTGATAGATTTGTCCTCTCCTTCCTAGAAGAGCCTTGGGATCGTTATGCCTGAGTTATCTGTACCCTGGCTGTCTGTATTCTGTGTTCATGCATTGTGGAAGAGGCCATTAGGGGAACATGTTTCCCCATTTGCAGCCTCACTTTTGCCTTTTGTTTCTTCTGAGACCCCTCCCCTAAACCCACACAGGTTTCTGAAGGGCAGATGGGCGTCAGCCTCCATCCTAGACCTTCATGATGGGCTGTGGCTTCTGCTGCTTTTTTCTATTGCATTTTATTTTCTAACTTCCACATCCATCGAATTCTCTCATCAGGTGATAAGCCCACCCTTACTTTCTGCTGTTGTGGTCTTAATCCTTTCTGTACTTTTAATCTTTTAGTGTCATTTGGGGATGGTGCCATCAGGAACTGGAAGCTGTATTGTCCCATTTATTTCTCACGGTAACCCAATAAAGTGGTTACTACTAATATCCTCTTTATATCTGAGGCAAGTGAGGGACTCAAACCCAAGTCTCTCTACCACCAAAGCATGTGCTGTTTTTACTGTCTGTTGGGAAGACATGTCAAACCACTGGTTCACGACACCATTGAAACAATTACTTCATTTTTTAAAAGATTAAAAGTTTTTAACTACCAAAAAAAAAAATTTTTTTTTTTTTTAACTACCAAGAAAACTGGTCAGGATTGGCCAGGAATATAAAAAAGTATTTATCGGCCTCTGCCTAGGGCTTTTCTTATTCATTGGACCATCTTGAAAAATGATTATCAAACTTAAGAAGATACATAATTCGTCTTTTAAATGAAATCTTATGCAGAAATCCCTAAGATGTGATGCTGCTCTAGTTGAAGTTAGGTGAGGATGCCCAGGGTTTACTCATCAGCTCTCTCTGGTGGCCCCGAAGACACTTCTCCATTGAGCATAGTTTTGAAAACCTTTGATGTAAGGCTGCAAACCATTTGGCTAATGGGAAGGGAAAAAAAAAGTTGTTTAGTTTAAGAATGGTTTGGTACCAAAATAAGATTAAATATAAATTATTCTAAAAATTACTTGGGTAGGTAAAATTTTTACTCTTGTTCTCCATTTTGTAGTTGCATAGAAGTATCATTGCAGTTGTATTGAGAGCCTCCATAGTACTGTTTTCTAAACGAGGAAGTAAGCAAAAATCACTGTGCTGACCTACAGGTAATTCAGTTAGTTCAACTATTACAAATTGCAAAAATGGGCCACAGTGAAAGGTCACGTGTACATGCTGTCCCATCTAGCCACTATTAACCCTCTTGGGAATAGAGTACTAGCGATAACTACTGTTATTAGTTTGTTGTGTACTAATGCAAATTTGAATATAATATCCCTCTGTTCTTTTACACAGTGGATAATTGGCTCTATTTTATAGAAATTGAACAAAAGGAGTATTTTGAGTTTTATGCAAAATCAGTAAAACATTCAGTTTTACACATATGTAATATTTGCTTTTCTTTTAACAGGAAAAAATTAAAGAGTACATCCAAATATATTTATCAAACGTTATTTTTGAATGGTGAAAATAGTGACATTAAGATTTGTGCTCTAGGAGAAGAGTGGAACTTACACAAAATATATTTATGTCAAGTAAGTATTTTATTTTTCTATTTGAGTAAAGAAGGTAGTTACTTAAAAATAGCTCACACTCTTTCAAGTCATGTTCTTTCTAATTGCATTTCACAGCAATCTCTTTACAGTAGTTGTTTAAGTCCTATCATCTCGTTCCAAAGTCTTGTTTCATCAGAAATACGGCACACAGGGCGCCTGGGTGGCTCAGATGGTTAAGCGTCTGCCTTCGGCTCAGGTTATGATCCTGGGGTCCTGGGATCGAGTCCCGCATCGGGCTCCCTGCTCAGCGGGGAGCCTGCTTCTCCCTCTGCTTCTCTCTCTCTCTCTCTCTCTGTCTTTCATGAATAAATAAATAAAATCTTTAAAAAAAAAAAAAAGAAAGAAAGAAAAGAAACGGCACACACTTAGTTTGGTCTAGAAAACAGATTTTGAATTTTCCTTGTCGTACCAGCCCAGCAAATACCTTTTTGTCATTACTTCATTAAGGTTCTTATTTTGGTGCCTTTCGTTGACAAAAGGGAAAAAAGTTAGGGGAAAAATGTCTAAAGTTAAGATTGCTGAATTTGTTTATTTTGTATATAATTATTTAAATTGGATGAATTTAGCCAAAATGTTATTTTGTAGATATGATTGATTGAAAGCGAATGGAAAGTTCTTGACACTTACTCTTCTTTCCTTCTGGAAAATGCAGTTAAAGACAAAACCCAGCAAATACAGACTAATTCATTTAGCTGATATACCTATTTGGTTTGTGTGCTGAAAATATTACCATCTGCCACCCCATTGTAAAGATTCAAAACTCTCAAAATGAAAGAAAATATTGCTCTAATGGCTCAAATATTTTACTCATTTATTATTTCATCAAATCTATCTATTCTTTCTTCAAATCATTGTTCTAGGCACTAGGAATAGAACAGTGAACAATTTAGTTTCTATCCTATGGCTTTTATATTTTCTCTCTTCTTCACCATTTGACAATAATTACTGGTAAGACAGTATAGTATAAGATTTCAGTAGAAATATTTTAAAAAAACTTTTTCTATAACATTTTAATTATAGTGTTTTTTATTTAATTTTTTTGAACAGGGTACTTCGGCTTGAAGTTTATAGCTCAGGGAATATATCAGAATATTGGTCTCAACTTGAGGATAGGGTCCATACCTTTTTTTTAATCACTGAAAGCAGTTTTGTGAATTTAAGGATGAGAATGCCTCAGTGAAGGCTTTCCCTCTCAAGAGAAACTGTATTGATTATAGTGCAAGCCACATGCTAAAATATAGTAAGCCCCCTAAGGACAGAAACAATGTCTGTTTTGTTTACTGCTGTATTCACAGTGCCTTATACATACTAAGTATTCATTGAAATTAGTTAATATTTGATCTAGTCCAAAGTAATTCTAATTATGAGAGGTACTATCTAGAAGGTAACTAAAGACTTCATCCATTTTGGTACCTTACCAAGAATTTAGGTCCATTCTGGAATTTTCTGATTAGTTAAAACTAAACTTTAGATTTATCCTAATTTCTGGGGATCATCCCATTTACAGCCACTAACACAGTAAGGATTCAACAGTAGGAAAGTTCTTAGTCTTCACTCCTCAGTATATGATTATGTATTCACCTTGTGTGTTGTCATATATTTATAAGAGTCTTAAATACATATGTTTTCTAAGCTTGAATTTAAAATGTCATTGAGAAGGAAAACACATACCTGTAATAGACTCAGAAATTGTTTTAACTAAATAAAAAAATTAATGTAAGTTTCAAATAGTAATATAGGAATTCAGTTCAGATAGTAATATGAGAATTTGGTTTAGTTTTCATTAAATTAATCCTAAACAAAGTATTTTGACATACCTCAAGTTCCGTAATTTCATTTTCCTGTAGACATGTTTAACAACTCTTTTTCTCCTGAAATAATAATGGATTCATTTTGATAGAAGGGTTGCTTGGAATTAGAAATGGGAAAATAATTTGGAAGACACAGAAAGTACTAGATAATTGTTTTTGTTTTTTGTTTTTTGTGTTTTTTTAAGTCTGGCTACTTTTCTAGTATGTTCAGTGGTTCTTGGAAAGAATCCAGCATGAATATTATTGAACTGGAGATTCCGGACCAGAATATTGATATAGAAGGTAACCACCACCATATTTACTATTATGCAAAAAGTGTAACATAACCTTTTTATTCTTTTGGTAGAAAATAAATATTTTCTTCCAACCTCGTAGGCTAGGAGAAAAGCTCCATTTAACACCCTAGAGTGTCAGCTTTGTATTGATTTGCCCCATAGTTTTTGTCAATTCTGTTCTATCTGTCCCTAATCTACTTAGTCATGTAGGCCTTATCAGTCTGTTTACTTATGTTTGTAAATATAGCTGCCTGGGATATGGAGGATATAGGGTGAAGAAAGGAAGAGTATGTTTTTAAAAATTACATAGAAAAGCTGGTAAATAATGTTTATTGATTATTCCCCATGCATGAAGACTTTCTCTGGGAACAGTAGGGTATGAATCATGTAATTGGTGTTTTAGAGCTCTGAGTTCTTAGAAGAGGAAGCTGAAGCCCAGAGAATTTAGGGACTTATTTTAGGTCTCAGCACTTTAGTGAGCCTCAGTCAGCCTGTAGTTCTCCTAATTCCTGTTCCAGTGCTCATCCTCGGCTCCCCTCTGTGATTGTCCAAGTGTAAGTACCCAGTACTCACAACATAGGCAAAGAGAAAAGTTAAGGATGTTTGTAAACACCCACAAGAGTGGCAGTGGAGAGAAGGAAGGGCAGGTCTAGATAGCTGTGGTGGTTGGGGGAGAGTGTGGCGTGGAGAGGACCAGGAGCTATTCCCCACTCCCCAGGAATGAAGCCCTGAAAGCACGAGGGTTAAGATTATCATTGGGGTATGTGGACTTAATGATTGGTCTATTCAGGGTATCTTTATAAAACTTTTTCCAAGGGTGTCTTATTTCTGACCACCAACTAATGTCAAGATTAGATGCAGAAGAATCTAGCTCTGTTAGGTTGAATAAATGGAAATTTGTGACATTATTATTAAATTAGCACCATTAATCAGTAACCATTATTAGCATTTTAATTAGCGATACTCTCTTATCCTTTTATGTACATCCTAAATTTAGACATATATTTTAGAGTATAAAGACAGTCGTCGTTATTTTTGTAATACTTTCATAGATATTACTGTTATTTCATTCCCCGGATCTACTTTTGCTTTCAGCACTGCAGGTTGCATTTGGGTCACTGTATCGAGATGATGTCTTAATAAAGCCCAGTCGAGTTATTGCCATTTTGGCAGCAGCTTGTATGTTGCAGTTGGTAAGTATGCACAATATTCAAAGAAAGGATCACAGTTGGATCTTTGTTTCAAAGTATCTATTCTAAAAACAAAAATAAAGCTTAGCTTTTTAGTTTTTAAAATAAAAATGAAATGTGTAAATATGTCATTTGTGATAAGTCATTTAAGAAGCTTAACCAAAAAAAATACTACTAATAAAATACTTAATGAAAACCAATTTATTGGGGCGCCTGGGTGGCTCAGTTGGTTAGGCGACTGCCTTCAGCTCAGGTCATGATCCCAGGGTCCTGGGATCGAGCCCTGCATTGGGCTCCCTGCTCAGGAGGAAGCCTGCTTCTCCCTCTCCCACTCCCCGTGCTTGTGTTCCCTCTCTCGCTGTCTCTCTCTCTGTCAAATAAATAAATAAAATCTTAAAAAAAAAAAGACCAATTTATTATAGCTGAGGGGGTCATCATGTCTGTGTAAGATATGAATGCAAGCTATTTCAGTGTAGATACCTTAGAATTACTATAATGTAAGAATTGACTTGTCTAAGTTCATTTACAGATTTCTATTCATTAGTGATTTATCTTGACTTGTTAAGCAGATCACTTATGATTACTAATTCATTTAGGTCATGAGTTTGAAAAACATTGAGAGCTTACTTTGTCAACTTTTTCTTAATTATGAAATAATGTGGTAAACCACATAAATATATATATAATCCATTGGTAGAACGACAGATTTGTTCTTTCAACAGAAATATATTGAGCAATGTGTCAAACTAGGCATAGGAATCCAAAGGTAAATTAAGACATAGTCCCAACCTTCAGGGAAGTCACAGTGTAATGTGTGTGTGGAATGGGGCCAGGAGGGTTGATAAACAGACCCAGAGACAAAGTAAGAACTATCCAGTATTATAGGTATGATAATAAACATCCTGTTGGATTTAACGGATGAACAGAGGGAGTGGTCAGTTCTACCTGGTAGTGCAAAGAAGGAAATTGAGTCTTGAAAACTGAAAATGTATTTATCTTGCAAAGAAAGAAGAGGGGATGGAAGCATTTTATACAGAGTAAATTAATACCCAGAGATGTGAAACAGTGGAGGATCAGAGAATCTGAGTGGAACATGGCCCTAGCACAGACATAAGAAGCTCTAGCACAATCAAGGAAGCGTTGTTGAGAAGGCGGCAGAGGCCAGATTATGAAAATCCCTCTCTACCTTTTAAGAAGTTTAGGCTTTATATATAGGTACTTTGGGAAGATTTTTTTAAATTATTTTACTTATTTGAGAGAGCTAGCATGTGAGTGGGAGATGAGGCAGAGGGAGAGAATCCTCAAGCAGACTCCCTTCTGAGTGTGGAGCCCCACATGGGGCTTGATCCCATGACCCAAGAGACCGTGACCTGAACGGAAACCTAGAGTTGAACGCCCAACTGACAGAGTCACCCATGTGCCCCCTTTTGGAAGCTTTTAATCAAAGAAAAGACAGTTGTGTTTTAGAAAGAATACGTCAGAAATAATGTGAAGGATGTATTGAAGAAAAGATGAGTACATTAGAGACAAAATCTTATTGCAGTAGCCCAAGTGAGGGTTTAAAGTAGGGCAGTAGCAATAAGCATGAAGAGGAAAAACTGGATCACAAAAGATTAATCAGGGATAATCCACTGGACTTGGTGACAGCCAAGATGTTAAGAGGAACTTGGAAGGGGCTGGGTGAAGGGGTATTCTCAAATGACTTTCAGGTAAGTTTAAAATCCTAATGGGGTTAGTATTTTATTTTGATCTTTATAAAAAGTTGTTTCCTTTTCTGTGATATTTGCATACTTATTTATTTGAAGTATTAGTAAATAGCTCGCTCAATATATTTAGCTGAGATCATTTGATTTTTTAAATGTTGTCATCCTTTCAATACTTATTTTCAACAAGTGCACTTTATTTTCTAACTTTAGCCCTTTTGGTTTTGTCTGAAATCCATTTTCTGCATTATCTTTATGACTTAACTAACTAACTTAATAATATACTTGCATGATGAATATATTTCAGAAATTTAGGTAAAAAGTGACATTCTTTCCATATATTAAATAAAATTAGTTCATTTGAAATCTTACATATAAACATTTTAGATTAATATTTCAATGTAAATGTATTTGTTTTAGGTGCATCTCTTAGAAATTGATAAGTGTTTTATACTTTAATAAACATTTTCTGATGATTCATACTGTTTACTTGCCTAGCTCCATCACATGGTTGACTGAACATGTTAAATAAAATGTAAAAAGAACAGACAAACCAGATACAATGCTGCTTAATTTTGCAAGGTCCCAGAGAGGGGAAGAATAAAAAAGAAAGAGAATAGCAATATTCATCTCTACTTTACTGCCTTACTGCTTTTATCCCCTACATTCTGTTTTTCAATTCCGAGTATTTAGTTGAATACTTGCTGGATTTTTTTTTTTTTTCAGTATTTTTACTGGACTTAAAAATTTAGGCTTGCTGCACTTAAATGAGTTTTCTTTCTTTTCTTTCTTTCTTCCTTTTTTTTTTTTAACTTTTTAATATGTACAAGCACATATTCAGAGCTAATTTTTCCCACGTGAAATGGGCCTTTCCAGTGCTTATTTATATTTACAGGATGGTTTAATACAGCAGTGTGGTGAGACAATGAAGGAAACAATTAATGTGAAAACTGTATGTGGCTATTACACATCAGCAGGGACCTATGGATTAGATTCTGTAAAGAAAAAGTGAGTTACCTTTTTTATTTTTCCTCCCATCCCACTTGTGGGAATTTGGCTTCTTTGGTTTCTTAAGAGAATGTATAGCTGTAAGAAAGAAAGAAAAAAACAGATAGAGGACTAGAATTTTGTTATAAAAAGTCCTTTTTTACATTTGGATGAATTAGTAAATTCCTTGAAAGTGTTGTCTTTGTAAGTGACCATGGGTGGGTTATACATGTTTATATGTGGCTTATAAAAACTCTGGTCACTCTTTATAGTGCGTTTTCTATTAATATTTTTTAAGTAGTAGGCATCATAGACATTATATCAATACACCTACTGGCAATGTTTTTAATTCCTAAGAATTGTAGTACCCATTTTCAAATTAGAAAGAAGTTAATAGAAGTGTGCAAGCCCCTTCATAAATGATGTAACACCAACTTGAAATGATGTTTTCTTAAGTAGAAATGCTCTTATTAACATAAGGTAATGTTTCCTTAATAACTGCTGACAAAAACAATACTAAATTTTTGGTTGTTAAATTTAAAAATTTGAGCATGTTCTGGCAAGACTAATTGTTTTTATTTTAACTGTGAGTCCTACCAAATAAGTCATAAATACATGATATGTCATTTATGTATCATGTAAAAAATAATTCCATGTTTTAATTTCAGGTGCCTTGAATGGCTTCTGAACAATTTGATGACTCACCAGAATGTTGAACTTTTTAAGGAACTCAGGTATTTTAATTTTAAATGACCTTATAATTAATCATCCTAAAATAATGTTTATTTGTTCAAGTATGCATTTGCTTTATACAAAAATACATTACTTATGAAAAGTGAATAATTTAATGAAAGGTATCTTGACATCTATGAACTGAAGAAATGCTTCATAGATTTCTTTGTCATAAATAATATGTATATTATGTCTACTATTTTAACCAATTTTAATAGAAAAATTCATTGTTACTATAAAACTATAGAAAAATAAGTGTTACCTCACTTTTGCTGGGCTCTTAGAGAATGTAAAAATTTATTTAAAAACCATCTTTACCATTGCAAAATTAAGTTTTAAAGATTTTATTTTAAGTAATCACACCCTACATGGGGCCTGAACTCACAATCCTGAGATCAAGTCTCATGCTCCAACTGAGCCAGCCAGGCACCCCGGCAAAATTAAGTTTAAGGAAGTTGTTTTAAACTTTTTGGTAGGCCTGATGAAGTTAAATTCACAATCAGGAGACGAAACATGAGAGACTATGGACTCTGAAAAAGAAACTGAGGGTTCTAGAGGGGAGGGGGGTGGGGGAATGGGTTAGCTTGGTGATGGGTATTAAAAAGGGCGTGTTCTGCATGGAGCACTGGGTGTTGGTGTTATACGCAAACAATAAATCATGGAACACTACATCAAAAACTAATGATGTATGGTGATTAACATAATAAAAAAATCTTAAAAAAAAGAATAGCATCTATTATTATTCCTTCCTGCCTTCCTTCTTCCCTTCCTTCCTGCCTGCCTTACTTCAACAAACACTTCCTGAATGTCCACTCTATATGAAGGCTGTGAAGGATGCAGAGATGATTATGTCATGGTTTCTGCCCTCAAAGAGATCATTCCTGTGATGTCAATTTTACTGCGTTTTTTTGTTGTTGTTTTTTTTTTTACAAGTATGGGTGTGGAAGTGGTGGGGAAAAAGACAAACATTTTTATGTTTAAATACAATGTGGAATAGAGAGAATTCAAGTTTCTTTGAGGAAATGAAATACAAGAAGTAGTAGAAATGTTATTTTTATGGCTAGACCATCTCCTGGATTCCTGGGTCCTGTCCTTTCCTCTGCCCTTAGGATGTACTTTGGTAGAAAAGTTTGAGAAGTATTTTTCTACCAAAAAAATCATTACCTAAAGATGTCAAGGTATAAACAAAGCTCTGCATTATGTTTGGTTTGAAAATCATCAGGGCGCCTAGGTGGCTCAGTCAGTTAAGCATCTGCCTTCGGCTCAGGTCGTGATCCCAGGGTCCTGGGAGCAAGCCCTGAGTCCCGGCTCCTTGCTCAGCAGGGAGCCTGCTCCTCCCTCTCCCTTTCTGCCTGACGCTCCTTCTGCTTGTTCTCTCCATCTCTCTCTCTCTCAAATAAGTAAAATCTTTTAAAAAAGAAAGAAAGAAAATCATTAGAAACTAATTTTTTTTCTTTTTGTAATTTCTCATTGAATTCTTTCAAAAAGAAGATAAATTGTAGTGGTCATCTTAAAAACCTAGATGTTCTTCTGGCTTTTTATGGCTTAAAGGAAGTGGGAAAAAACAGCTGGTGATATAATTTCCACTCTAAATTTAAACTGATACATATTTCTTGATCTTACTCTTTAATAGTAATGAAAACATGTTTTATGACTAAGCAGTTAAGCGTCAGTGTTAAAGGTTACTTTGAAGATAAAGATGTTTCAGTGAATTTTGACAAGTGTCTTTTTTTTTTAAACAATGAATGCGCAGGAAAGGCAAAACAGGAACACTGCCACTTTATCAGAGCATACTAAAAGTTATCTCATTGAGACCTTGTTTTAACTTGATTAATCAGCAAATCAAAGCCTTGTTTTCCTGTAAGTTCAAAGAAAGACCTTTCATAGTATACTATCTGAATTAAAAGTATCCTTGTGTTCAGATAGGTTATTTCTGTCTAAGATTCTTTGTGTTGGGCAAAAAGACTGATGACATTTTCTTTTCATTAAAAAGACTTAAATTTTTTAGTTTCACCAGGGTGTTTTAGCCTGTGCATGAGAATAAACTCACTACCTCTATTTTATCTTTTCTAGTATAAATGTCATGAAACAGCTCATTGGTTCATCTAACTTATTTGTGATGCAAGTGGAGATGGATGTATACACAGCTCTTAAAAAGGTATTGACATAGTATGTATGTAAGGGCATCACCTCAGCATTACTTATAATAGTGAAAAACTGGAAACAGCTAGTGTCCAGTGGTTAAGGAATGGTGTAAATGTAAGAAATATGCCAAAATGTTAAAAAAAAATATTTGTTTAGGGATTTGCTGTCATGAATGATTTTAATTTCATTCTTTATACTTGTCAACATTGAAAGTACAATAGCCAGTTATTTTACCAGCAAAATGGATTTATTTGGGAATAGTAGAGCAATTGGAATTTGGTACATGTAAGCCATGACAAACCATAGGCAATCCAGACCTCAAAGGAGAGGAACATTACTTTATTGAAACTACTTTGAATGAAAGGAAAGTCCATTGGAGGAAAGCTAGAGTTCCTTGTTGACTGAGTTGTGGTGTCTTCTTATTGGCTGAGCTTGTTGCTGGGCAAGAAGAAATTCTTCCTTTCTCCTACTAGAGTAGTAAAGTTGGCTTCTTCCTGTTGGGAATGCAAGTTACCTCTCTTACTGTTGGGTCTGCAATTGACGATAAGTGGTGGGCCATGAGAGCTTGCATCCTTTTCCTTTTGTTTGGTTTTACATACTTTTCTATCCTAGGAATATGTTCCTGTTTTTTTTCCCAGATTTTTTTCAACAACAAGCATGCTATTGTTATGTTATTTACATAATCAGAAATGTTAAATATTTTATATGGTTTTCAGAAATGTTTTCAGAGTTGAATTAATGACTTTATGATGAAATTTTCACTTTTTCTAGAAAATGGTGCAATTTTTTAAAGACCTTATTTGCACTTCAGGCATATGTTTCTTTTCATCCTTTTGAAAGGTTTTAACATCTTTAATATAATTTTATTTTCACAACTCTGAAGAGGCAAATCAGCTATTATTCTTGTTCTGTAGATGTAGGACTTAGAACTCTTTACAGTTACTAAGGGCAGACTTGAGGTAGAACCCAGCGTTGTGAGTCTTAGTTCATTGCTTTTCCCTGAATATTATTCACTGAATAATTTTGCCTTTAGCCTTTTGTCCCCAGCAACAGAATCTCCTTTAACACAGCTTTGAAATCTGAGAATGAGATACCTTCTAAGTTATATCATTGCAATTGCTTATTGTGTGGTAGAGATGAGATTCTATTACTGTTTTTTTTTTTTCAAGGAAGTTTAGTAACTGAGTTATGTAATCATTGAAGGAAGGGTAGACAGGCCATTTCTGTCTCTGAGCCAGTGGTAACGTTCATTGTTTCCTATTGTTGTAATTGCTTTTATGCCAGTAATGGTAAGTGCTTACTGTGTGCCAGGCACTATTCAAAGTAAGTGACACATAATAATTTTTTTAATGTCCTATGATGTATCATGTTCATTTTGTAAATGAAGAAATTAAGGCCCCGAGAAATTAGGTAATTTGTCCGCCTGTTAATTGTTAGGGCCAGGATTTAAAAGTCCATGCTCCTAACTACTCTGTATACTGTCTCAACAGTAATAAAACAGTGAGAAACTCCTTTTTCTCTTATTTAATAAGTTATTATTAAATCTATTAAATTATATTAAATAATTAAGATTATTTTTATAACATTACACAATAATTAGCAAAATTGAGTTGAGTAGAATAAATTAGTGTAAAATTATTAATGTAATATATATATTAAACCTTTACCATTTTAATTGTGAAACTATACTGCATCGGAGGCCATAAATACTTTTCAGGAATTCATCTGTTCTTTATCACACATTGTTTTAGTTTTTATCATTGGACCACGATTAAAGCCATGATGAGAGGGAGGGGAGGAGCAAAAGGAGAAGGAGCGAGGGAGAGAGAGAATCTTCAGCAGGCTCCACGAAGCGAAGCGTGGAGCCCAATGCAGGGCTCAGTCTCACAACCCTGAGATCATGACCTGAGTGGAAATCAAGAGTCGGACACTTAACCGACTGAGCCACCCAGGTGCCCCAAACCCATGATGAATTTAAAGCTTGTAAGCATGTTGGGGCGCCTGGGTGGCTCAGTCATTAAACGTCTGCCTTCAGCTCAGGTCATGATCCCAGGGTCCTGGGATCGAGCCCCGCATCGGGCTCCCTGCTCCGCGGGAAGCCTGCTTCTCCCTCCCCACTCCCCCTGCTTGTGTTCCCTCTCTCGCCGTGTCTCTCTCTGTCAAATAAGTAAATAAAGTCTTTAAAAAAGAAAAAAAAGAAAAAATAAAGCTTGTAAGCATGTCATATAATAGTTCTACTACTTTCAATGGTGTGTACTGGAAATCAGATTTTTTAAATATTATGTTTTAAGGTGGAAGCAGTTTGAATGTAAAATTGTAACATGATAAAATCTTACCATTTTTTTTAATTTGCTTTTTTAACCTAGTGGATGTTCCTTCAACTTGTGCCTTCGTGGAATGGATCTTTAAAACAGCTTTTGACTGAAACAGATGTCTGGTTTTCTAAGAGGAGAAAAGGTATGCCTGAAATTTTTATTGAGAACTTGGTTTGGGCATCTTTTTCATTGAAATTTATTAAAATCAGTTCCTAACTTATTTGTAGACCTAGAGAATTTTAGATCTGGTGAGGAACTTAAGCAGTTATCTAATTCAGCCCCTAATTTAAATTGAGAAAAGTAAAGCTGGGTAAGAAAAATGCCTTGCCAAGTATTAACTAAATTATTACTCCTTGAACTAACACCATAGTTTGATCCCCCAAACTATTACCTTTCCCATTTTATCACCAAGGGGTCTTGGTGATTACCTTTGTCTTTTGTTTGGCCACATTGAATTTTCTGTAACACATTAACTCTGTCTATCAGGCAACAATTCGTAACATGGGGGGCCCATCTACAGGCTTCAGTGTGTCACTAACCCCCAAAAGTATATGCAGAACTTTATATGTATGCATGTGTTCCATGCGTTTTGCAAGGTGAGAACTTCAGACCTTTTGTCAGAGTCTCAAGAGAAGACTGATCTAAAATTCATTAAGATCAACTGCTATTAAATTCTTTCTTATTGGGACAGAGGTGGGACATGAGATGTATTTATTTTTTACTTTGCTAGAACAGATAATAGGGAAAAATTCTGGGTGCAAAGAAGTGGATAAATCATAATCCTTATTACTTCATGATTTTCTTAGTTCATGGTCATTTTTGGTCCATGCATGGCCACCATTTTTGCTTATTTTTAATTGTATATTGAACCCCCACAAGTACTAGAACATTAGTAACTTCAGTCTACTCCTGTGCTTCTCTCCTGTTGTGTATCTCTGACTTTTCCAACCACTATCTTGAATTTTGTGTTTGTTATTCCCTTAAAAAAATGTTATTGCATGTCTTAATATATATAACATAATGGTGTGCTAGTAAGCTGGTCTCTGAAAAAATAATCCCTGATTTTCAGGGTTCTTAAAATTTCCATGATACAAAATCTCCCAGTGTGGTTGATTCCAGGCTACCAACATGACATCATTGCCACTGAATGCAGAGTTGAGAAGAAATGCACACCATCAGCTCCTATAAGCCAGTGCAAGCCATCTCCATCACACCACTGGACAATATATCTTTGGATTTTAGTTGTTATTGAACTATTTCAATACATGTGTTGCAAAGCAATGGCTATAGTGTCTTTGTATCTTATTTTGTATTTTAATAGAGAATTAACATATTAACTAGTAGTGTTCATCACATATAGCTAAAGCATAAATTAGATGAATCCCAAGAGACAAATCCATGTCCTTTGTATCTTATGAAGACCCTTGAGTTTGGCATTTGAGCTCTGGAGTTTCACTGGAGTGTTCAGTCCCTGGGAAAAGAGTTTCTGGAGAGATACTGTAACCCTAACTACCATTCTCAAGCCTTCCTTTCCCAAACCTTGCTGCACTGGAAGCTCCAAACTCCAGAAACTAGGTTACAACTGAATTCCCAGCCCAAAGTCCACTTGGAACCAAAATTAATTTCCTGGGGCTTCTTTCTAAGTTTCTCAAGTAGTTATCCATACTCCACAGGTTTTTATAATCTTTGAAAACTAGCTTATTTCTATTCTAATTGAATATATGTGTGTGTATATCTGTGTGTATGTCTCCCTGCCCATAAAAACATTTAGGAATAAAATAAATAGATTTGAAAAGAATGCCTATTGAATTTAAACTGTTTTTTATAGATTTTGAAGGTATGACCTTCCTTGAAACTGAACAAGGAAAACCATTTGTGTCAGTATTCAGACATTTAAGGTTACAGTATATTATCAGTGATTTGGCCTCTGCAAGAATTATTGAACAAGATTCCCTAGTACCTTCAGGTAAGAGAACATGACAAAATTATTATTTTAAGTAACATCTTTCTGATTATTATAGTAATGTATGTCATAGAAAAGAATAAAAAGAGAATAGAAATTACCCTTAATCCCAACAAGAGACACATTTTTGTACCAAAGTGAAATCATACTACATAGGTAATTTTCTGTGTTCACATTCTATATTGAGTATTTTCCCCTATCATTAAGCACTATCCAGACTTTAAATGACTCTAGTTTTCTGTGATACAGTTTTGTTTTGTTTTTTTTAAGTATGAGGAAAAAGAAACTAACCCCATCATCTAGAATGAATATCTTGGTAAATTTCTTCTAGTCCTCTTTATTAATATATATACATTAAAATAAAAACAAAAGTATAATATGTACCCCAAGTTTATATATTAATATAGATGTTCCTTAATTTGATTAACTAGTACACTATTTTAGACCAGACTTTTATTTTATTTTTTATTTTTTGAATGGGCTATATCCAGTTTATTAATATGCAAAACGAGTCTTATTCATTTTCTGAGATGCTTCACTAGGATTGTTTTGGACCCAACTTGACTTTCCCTTCTATTATGTTTTCTGGATTTTTTACCTCTAGACCAGACTTTTAAAAAATGAGTTTTGAAGTATTAGAAGTATACTTATGCTTCATTTGGTTGGGAATAAATAAAAGCAGAAAAATAAATATGGTACTAAGCCAATTCTACTTATATTATTAATAGATTTTTTAATTAAAATTTCAGTTTACATAGACCTGTGGAAATAATGATATGCTTATTAAAGGAAAAATATAATTATAACTTTTATTTCATTTAGAATAAATTAAAATCTCTTTTTAATATGTCACCTAAACCTAATATGCAAAAATTACTGTTATTTTTTTTAAAGATTTATTTATTTTAGAGAGAGAGAGATAACAAGCAGGAGGGGCAGAGGGAGAGGCAGAGAGAATCTCAGGCAGATTTTGCACAGAGCGCCAAGGTGGGGCTCTGTCTCACAACCCTGAGATTACAGCCCGAACTGAAACCAAGAATTGGATGCTTAACCAACTGCACCAACACAGGCACCCCCAAAATTATTTTTTGAGTATGCATGATTTATCTGATAATTTATCTCCCATTAATTAGTTGTTATTTTTAGATAATTTAATAAAACAATTTATTCAGTTTTCTATAAAAGTTACATAAAAACTGAAAATATTACTTTAGGTATGTTTCTTACAAAAATTAATATGAACTATGAAAAGGAAACTGTTAAATGCAAGAATCTACTTTTAACTAAAGGTTTAAATCCTAATTTAAATGCATGTAATCTGGTGCGCCTGGGTGGCTCAGTGGGTTAAGCATCTGCCTTCGGCTCGGGTCATGATCTTGGGGTCCTGGGATCGAGCCCCACATTGGGCTCCCTGCTCAGTGAGGAGCCTGCTTCTCCCTCTCCCTCTGTTGCTCCCCCTGCTTGTACTCTCACTCTCTGTCAAATAAATAAATAAATAAAATCTTTAAAAAAAATAAATGTGTGTAATCTAAGTGGAGTCTATCCTAAAGCAAAGCATAATAGCATTTACCACACTAAAAATCATTAGGCCATATTGTTATAGCATATTTGTAAAATATAAACTACCAGCTTTATTTGTTGCTATTTTAAACTTGAGTTTAGAAATGGTAACAATTTTATCAAGTTCTTAAAATTTTTAAATGCTTTATGTTCTTCAGTATTTATTATTCTTTTATGTTTATTTATTTTTATATTTTAGAATGGCTCTCTTCAGTGTACAAACAGCAATGGCTTGCTATGCTCCGGGCAGAACAAGACAGTGAGGTGGGGTAAGTATGTTAGATCATAGCATTGTTCATAAAAAAACTAACAAACCAAAAACAATGTAACTTCTGCTGTGAATTTTTAAATGCATTTATTATAGTGAAAAATCAAGAGATGTTAAAGTAGAGAAACAAGATCATTAATCAGCTTTTATTCTTATATTTCTGTAACGTTATCAGTATTATTGGAATTATCAATTAATGGAATGTTTGAGTAGTAATTTGCTGTATTTGTAAAAATTGAGTAATTCATAAAGTGTGTTTCACCTAGTGTTGTATAATGATTTTCTTTCAACATACTGAAATATTACTTGGAATAATGCTTTCACAAAGCATGATTGTCATACTTAAATATATAGGTAAAGCTAATTTTCTTATTTGTGGTGATATTATGAAATTCTGATTCTTACTAATTAGCTAATAAGTGTTTTGAAGACCTTTGAGTCTGAAATGAATTAACATAATCCAGTTATAGATGCCTGACCCAGAAGCATATGACCCCCCCAAAAAATATTTCTGTGCTTTTTTCATTTGAAGGGAAAGCAGATTATCTATTCTTTCAATGTGCTTTGCAGTTCACAGGTGTACTTCCACATTATTATTTGATCTGTATACTGGCTCCTTGGTATAGGCTGTGTGAGCAGACAATCCATCTGAGAGTGGATATGGAAGAGGCCTTAAGTTTGACTTTTTTTGCCCCTGATCTCTTTTAACCCATTCTTATACACCACAAAACCTGCTAAAATATATGACCTGGTTATGTTTATATACAAACAGTAACTCTATGAAAGTATTATACAAACTCATGGTAATGATTATGAGGTTATTATCCAGAATTCTTTGTTTCTACTTTATTTATAATTTATGTTCCATCTTTTTCCAAATATATTCATAGCATATTTATCCTACACAAATATAGTAAGATTGTTGAAATAGAAATAATAAATCAAAAACCAAAAAAAGAAGAAAGTTAATTATCTAATGGAATTCAGATTCAAAGCATTTTGTAATATACGAAATATTTTCAAAATCATCCTCATTCTTTTGTATATTCAGTTTTTAGATGTTAAGTGTTCTTATTTTTCAAGATTTTCCTCATCTGTATCTTTACTGAATTGAACATAGAATTTGACCTAAGCGATTGAGCTGGACTAAGTGGGTTTCCTCCCCTCAGCAGTGTATGTATGATTATAGCACCCCAACGAAGTGCTCCATTTCATAGACACTGAGCCTCTGCTCATTGCTGCAGGGCTACTAAAGTGAGGAGGACAGTGTATTTCCTGGATGTTAGGTTATAATCTGTTAAAGTCTACCTCCAGGGTTCTCCTCTTCCATGCTCTTCCACATTGCTAATGGAGTTATATTTCTGAAGCAGGAATAGAATTGTGTCACTTCCCTGCTTAAATATATCCAGGGATTTGATGATAGGGACTACTGTTATTCTTTATGTGTGATATAAACATTTTTTTAAAATTCCTCATTCTTAAGAAATTCATACTGAATGATTTACAGATTAAAGGATGTGTCTGGAGGATTAGCCTCAAAATGATCACTCAGGAGGGTTATGTGGAGAACTGGGCTTGGAGTAAAACTAAAACAAGATTATTAAAGCTAGATGGGGAGAAAATTTAACTCCTTAAATATTTTATCTACTTTTAGGTTTGAAATTTTTCATAATAAAAAATGTAAAAGTAACAGAACTAAGGCCTGAGAACTCTCTACTATCTACAGGAAAAGTTGAAACTCTTATTAGCATAGCCTGGGGGGCCCATCCACAGTCCATCCAAATGTCTTTCACTTCATTTCCTCTCATGCTCATCTTAGGCTCTAGCTGTACTAAATTCTTCATACATTTGGTATTATTTTATGCTCCAGATTCTTTTTACCTACTATACCTTCTATCTGGAATGCCCTTCACCTGCATAGAATCCACCCCTGACCTCTACCCCAACAAATTCCCACTCAGGCACAAATAATACCTCCTCTGTGATGATCTCTCTCTAATCCCAGGCAGTAAATCTGCCTTCTTCATGCTCCTACCATCACAACTCTCTCTACATTATTGTAAATATTACTTATATGTATAGTTCTGTACTGGGCTGAACTCTTGGGTGTCATGGACATGTTTTATTAGTTTTATATACATTTACTTATTTTTTATATATTGTATTTCAGTATTTGAACTTGATGATGAGGAGGTCCCCAGTCTAGGCACTTAATAAATGTTGTATATAGTGAATATATTGTATTACTTTTATCATTTGGAATTCCAAGCTAATAATAATGCATTTTTTGTTATCATAACTTGAAATAACAGTGTTTTTCTTAGTTGATTAAGGTTTTTAAAGTAGGGAACCAAGATCAATTGATAAAATTCTATAGCTGTTTCTATTAAATATTGAGTTTGTATGGTTATACTACATAAAAGATGGCTTGGAGGGGACCTGGGTGGCTCAGTTGGTTAACTGTCTGCCTTTGGCTCAGGTCATGATCCCAGGGTCCTGGGATCGAGCCCCACATTGGGCTCCCTGCTCAGTGGAGAGCCTTCTTCTCCCTCTCCCTCTGGTGCTCCCCCTCCCTGTGCTCTCCTGCTCTCTGTCTGTCAAATAAATAAATAAAATCTAAAAAAAAAAAAAAGATGGCTTGGATATGAAATAGTAATGTCCGATGGTAGATGATACCAAGTCATGTCTTAAATAGTAGGTTTTAACTTCTTTTAGTTAGTAGTTAAACTTTTAAGTGTTTTATTTTCTTGAGGAGTACAATTTCTCATAGACATTTTTTTCCTCTTCTCTGGTTTGGCTGAGACCTAATAAAAAGTATTCTAGAAGTCAGGGCAATAAGTGAAACATTAAAGTTAAATTTTATTTTATTTATTTATTTTTTTAACAGAGGCAATGGGCTAGATTTAATCAATGCATTCTTATTTTATCTATAACACAAAAAGGTATTTTTAAATCTAATAGCAATTTTTCTATTCTTCTAAACTTAACAATTCTTTTTAAACTATTAGTTGCCTATTTTCTATGAAATTTCACATCTTATGTGTATTTCTAGGCCTCAAGAAATCAATAAAGAAGAACTAGAGGGAAATAGCATGAGGTGTGGTAGAAAGCTTGCCAAAGATGGGGAAGTAAGTATGGGTTATGACTCTTAACATTCTCATGCAAATTGTTGTACTTTTAGTGCAAAATACACTAAAGTAGAATACACTAGAAGAGCTTTTCTCGTAGTTTCTATAGCATGATCTCCTGGACAAGGAGTTAGGTGCTCAGTTGTGTTGCATGAGACTGTTGAACTTTTTGTGTCCAGCTAAGAGATATAAGAAGATCCCTCAGCAATCCAGAAATTAAGGTAAATAAGAAATTATATGGGAGCTATTACGTAGTCTTAAAAGTGATTCTTTCTAATTACCAATTACCTTAAATCAAAGACATTTAAACCCTTTGATTGCTACCCACATTTAGACTTCTGTTTTTCATTACCATCATATATAAATGTATGTCAGTGAAACAAAATATTATGAAACAATACTTACTGTTGCTGTGTCCAAAGGACCTATTTTCTATTTAATTTTTTTAAAAAGCTTATTGTGACTCATTAAATTGATTCTGATGGGACAAGAACTACGTTTTTTAAAATCCCACTCTAACTAATTGTAATTTTCATCTTAAAAAATAATTCAGCCTGGGGTGCCTGGGTGGCTCAGTCGGTTGAGCATCGGACTCTTGATTTCAGCTCAGGTCATGATCTCAGGGTTGTGAGATCGAACCCCAAGTCAGACTCCCACACTGGGTATGGAGACTACTTAAGGTTCTCTCTCTCTCCTCTCCCTCAGCCCGTCCCCCCTCTAAAAAATAATAATAATTAAACCTAATTTAGATAACCATTCAGTTATTTTTCTCCCACATTTTCCCTCATTTTAACTTCCTTGTTTTTAGAAGTTAATTATGTTTGCATTCATAGTTGTGATAAATGTTAGCAGTGTATGCAAGGGGAATAGGTAGGTGTCTTCTTTATTCCTTAGTCTTCCTTGTTGCTGCTTCTACAGCATGTTCCTGCCTCATCTCTCATTGAACCACAGCTCCTTTGAAGCACATGCTTCTGCTGCGCCACTCATGACCCTTATTGTAGCCCTCCCTCACTGGGCTATCTGTACTTATCACTGCTCTTGTTATCAGTCTTGGTGATTTTAGTGTCTCTGTTCCCTGACCTTCCTCCCCACAGGGATCTTACGCTCTACCCTACCTCCGGCACCCATTTCCTGGAAGCATATCCTCAGTTTTTGCTTTACTAAATAATACACCCCCTTCAGAATCGCCATTTCAAGCAGACCATTTTCAGACTCCACTCCTGTTATCTTTCTAGCACTCTTTCTAGAACCTGGACTCCCAACAGTTTTTAACTCCACCAGTGTAGAATACATTGTTCGTACTACTTTTTTCCCACTACCCTCTCACCATGTCCCTACTTCTTTCTTTACTTGACTTATATTTTATGTTCCATCTTAAAATTGGTCCCTGGCTAATACTCTTAACTTCCCTTTTTACTCTGTCAAGCTCAGCTGGCTAACCTCCAATTCCTATGAAATCCTAACTTGCTGTGCACTCCATGCCTGCTTCCAAGCAGATGGATATAACTAAAGAAAAAGTGTCCCCCACCAGGTGTCACTTGAATGTTTGTAACTGTAAGCTTCAAACAGGTGCTGCATGTGATTCTCCTACATTTCCCTAGTGAATTCATCCTGCCACTCTTTGAGTACCTCTCAGACCTTCTTTAAAAGGGGCAGTGCTACCACCCTCATTCTTATCTGATGACCTTGTTTCTTTCGTCACTCAGAAGATGAAAGCAATAGGAAGAGAATCTACACATCCTCCTACCAAACAGTTCTGCCAGTCTAACTGCAGCTAATAGCTGTGTGCTGTGCTTTTCCTCTTATTAGATGGATGAACCATCTGCTTCTGCCCTAGTCCATCCCCTCCCATCATAAAAAGACTCCATCCCTGTTCAGAAGCTTTGCTCCTGTAGTCATCACCTCCCTGTCCTGCCTCATCAGTTTTTCTCTTCTACTAGGTCATTCGCATTGAGCATATAACATACCATACCACCACCCATCTGGAACCACACCCCGACCCCACATTCTTCTCTAGCTTCCACTCCCATTTCTGTGCATCTCTTTTAAGCAAAAAACTCATGGAAAAAATTGCTCATATTTGTCTGTACTTCCTGTTTTCCGATGCTCTCTTGAATTCATGCCAATTCATTTATGCCAGTAAACTCCAGTGAAACTGCCATGCTGTTGTCACCAGTGATTTCCACATCGCCAGGTCAGGTAGTTACTGTTTAGGCTTCCAAAAGTTCTTGGTGACATGACACATCTGCACTCACTCTTTCTTAGAGATTTTCTCCGTTTGACTTCCAGGACAGCATATTCTGCTGGTTTTCTTCCAATTCATTGGCTGTTCCTTCTAAGTCTTTGCCTAGATCCTTCTCTTTCTCCACAAATGGACTTCTGTCGAAGCTCACTCCCAAGTGATCACATCTAGTTCCTATGACTTCACACTGATGACCTCTAACTCCAGATTCATATATCCAGCTACTCACTTGACATCTTTCTTAGAATCCTAGTAGCATCTTGAATAAAACAGTCCCAAGCTGAACTCTTTGATTATCATCCCCAAACTTTCTCCTTTCCAAGTAATTCTAATTCTCTAACCCATACATGGCCCCTCTGTTAATCTGTTGAATAAGCTCCAAACTTTCTGTTCTTCTTTCTTAAATACCACAGCTGGTGTTCATAAGGAATTCTTCCAGGTTCTCCTTGTGAAATCTATTCTTAGCGTGTCTGCCACTACCACCCAGATCCAAGCCAGCATTATCTCTTGCCTGGGCTGTGGTAGTAGCCTCATAACTGCTGTGCCTATTTTCACTCTTGCTCTTCTACATGTTGTTTTCCATACAACAGCCAAAGTCATCTTTTTAGAATGCAAGTTAGACCATGTTACTTCCTTTCCTAAAACTTTCCATCAGCTTCTTACTGCATTTAGAAGAAATGCATGCCCTTCCTTACTATGGACTCCTCAGCCCTACATTTTCTGACCCCTGACTGACTCTCTGAACTTAACCCTGTCGCCTGTCCACCCACATGACTGCCCTAGCCACATAGCCCTTCTTACTGTTCCTCAGATAAGCCAAGCATGTTTTTATCTCCAGAGCTTTGTACTTGCTCTTCTCTTTGCCTAAGTCACTCTTTCCCCAGATAGTTACTGGTCTGCTCCTTAGCTGACTCAGGGCCCGGCTCACCTAGTATCTCCTTGGAGAGACTTTCCCTGACCACGTGTCTGAACCAGGAGGCTCCCCAGCTGAAGCCCCCTCTTTTCTATCCTGTCACTCTATCCTGACATTCTGTTCTGGTTTGTTCTCTTCCATTCCTTTCCACCTATTCCTTCCACACAAACATATACACTGATTAAAATACACATTCTACCAGGGCAGAAACTTACTGTTCTTCAATGCCTAGAATAGTATTTGGCACATAATATGTGCTCAATAAATAGCTGTGAGCTATTAAATTAATGTTGTAATTCAACCAAACACTTGAAGCCCTGACTTTCCTTCAGTATACCCTACCAGCTTGCTTAATAGTCCATTAACTATTAGGTGATAGATCAAACAAAATTGTGAACCTCATGAGGGTATTTAAAATAATTCAGTTGTGGGGTGCCTCACTGACTCAGAAGAGCATGCAACTCTTGATCTCGGGGTCATGAGCCCTACGCTGGTTATAGAGATTACTAAATAAACTTTAAAAAATAAATAAATAGGGGCACCTGGGCAGCTCAGTTGGTTGAGTGGCTGTCTTCAGCTCAGGTCATGATCTCCAGGGTCTTGGGATCGAACCCTACATTGGGCTCTCTGTCAAATAAATAAATAAATAAAATCTTCTAAAAATAAATAAATAAATAAATAAAGTAACAATATGTATCAGTTGGTTAGTTATTTAAGGAATTTAGAGTATCTTTAAAGCAAGGTGGATTTTAATGGGTTCTTACTACCTCCATATAGCCTCCTGGCCCCCTAAGCACTACCTCCTTAGAGTTGCAGTGAAAAGCTATATTACTTATGATAGAATTACGGTGTGGAGAAATAACAAAACAAAACAGATCATGAAGAGGTGATATTAGGAAAGTACCTTAAAGAATGATGATCATAAAGGCTGCTTTTCTGGCTTTGAACTATGTTATACCCATGTGGTAAACCTTTATATATATTCACAGATAGATTATGTGTGGCAAGCCTTAAGGGGAAGGTACCCATAAGAGAGAAATATTTGGAATGAGTTAAAGGAAGAAAAGACATTTTGAACTTTCTGTTTTTGACTTGCTAGTATGATAAACTGAAGTAAATCTTTCTCTTTTCTATTTCTTAGTACTGCTGGCGGTGGACAGGTTTTAACTTCGGCTTTGACCTGCTTGTAACTTACACCAATCGATACATCATTTTCAAACGCAATACACTGAATCAGCCATGTAGTGGATCTGTCAGTTTACAACCTCGAAGGAGCATAGCGTTTAGGTAGGATGAAATTTCCCTGCCCCACTCCTCCTCACTCCAGAAAAAATATAAGAAATAAAATAAAACCTGATAATTTACACCAATAGTAGTAAAGTTTTGGTAAGATACAGTATATATGAAAGTGCAAAGAACTATTAAGGTTCTATTCCTGTGAAATGTTAGTAATACTCAAAATCAAAAAGTATGAATCTAGTATGTCAGAAAGAATAGGCTGGAATATGAATGACACAGGATTGATAATAGGCTTGAAGCTGTTGCCTTGCTGCTGTTCTTGCAAATTAAAGGTCCAGAATGGAAAGACGGTAAGGTATTTTTCTAGGGAAACATGTCTGGTATTGTCCTTCACTTTCTGTGGGATTTCATATATCCAACTTTGCCTGATAGTTGAGCTGGCTATCTTTCTTGAGAGGATACTGACAAATTGGAAAATAGCTTAATGAGTGGATTTTTTTAAGTCATATATTTATACTTACCTTACACCACATGCAAAAATGAACTCAAAATGTATCGAAGACCTAAACATAAGAGCTGAAACTATAAAACAACTCTCGGAAGAAAACATGGGGGAAAAGCTTCTTGACATTGGATTTGGCAATGATTTCTTCAATATGACACCAAAGCATAGGCAACAAAAGAAAAAAATAAATTGGACTTCATCAAAATTAAAAACTCTTGTGTATCGAAGGACAGAATCACAAGAGTAAAAAGACAACCCAGAGAATGGGAGAAAATATTTGCTAACCACGTATCTGATAAGAAACTAATACCCAGAATATCTAGAGAACTCCACAACAAAAAGACAAACAATCTCATCCAAACATGGGCAACAGACTTAAATAAACATTTCTCCAAAGAAGATATGCAGATGGCCAATAAGCATCTTTTCATGTTTGAAAAGATGCTCAACATCACTTATCATTAGAGAAACACAAATCAAAGTCACAGTGAGATACCACCTCAAAGCCATTGGGATGGTTATTATCAAAAACAAAGTGTTGATGAGGATGTGGAGAAATTGGACCTTTGTGCATTGCTGATGGGAATGTAAAATGGTGTATCCTTTATGGAAAATGAAATGGCATTTCCTCAAAAAATTAAACATAGAATTACCATATGATCCAACAATTCCCCTTCTGGGTATTTACCCAAAAGAATTATAAGGAGGGACTGGCACAGATATTATTGGTACATTCATTTTCACAGCAGCATTGTTCACAATGGCCAGAAGGTGGAAGCAACCCAAGTGTCCATCAATGGGTGTCCATGTAGATATTGTCCATATCTACAATGGAATTTTATTCAGCCTTGAAACGGAAGGAAATCCTTACACATGCACCAACATGAACCTTTATGACATTATGTTAAGTGAAATAAGCCAGTCACAAAAGAACAGATACTGTATTACTCTACTCATATGAGGTACCTCGAGTAGACAAGTTCATAGACAGGGAAATTAGAATGGTGGTTGTCAGGGGCCAAGGTAGGGGAAATGGGGAATTCATGTTCACTGGGTACAGAGTTTCAGATGGGAAGATGAAAAAGTTCTGGAGATAGATGACACTGATGATTGCAGAACAGTGTGAATATATTTAATGCTGAGAACTATACACTTAGAAGTGGTTAAAATAGTAAATTTTATGTATATTCTACCACAATAAAAAAGACATTTATGAATTATTTTATACCCTAGATATGTATAATAGCAAAAGCTTACATATCTCTCAGAGGATCAGTTTAGAATTTGAAAAGACTTCTTAAAATCTTTTATCAAATAAAAGAATGTGGAAGAGAAAAGTAAATATTAAAGTAAAGGAGGGTTTGTTTAAATTAATCTGTGGTTAAAAAAATCATATGTTTAGGGGTACCTGGCTGGCTCAGTTAGTGGAGCATGTGACTCTTGATCTTGGGGTTGTGGGTTTGAGCCCCACGTTGGGTGTAGAGATTACTTTAAAAAAAAATGTTTATTTTTTTATTTGTATTGTTTTTTTTTTAATCCTAGATTACGTTTGGCCTCTTTTGATAGTAGTGGAAAACTAGTATGTAGTAGAACAACTGGCTATCAAATACTTACACTTGAAAAGGATCAGGTATGTTTGATTACTTTTCTGTTGTTTGGTTATAGTATTTGTCTTTTGAATCCCCTTGAAAATTCTTAAGTAGAATTAACATTTGATTTAAAGATTGGTTTAAAAGTTTTTTGAGGGCACCTGGGTGGCTCAGTCGATTAAGCAGCTGCCTTCAGCTCTGGTCGTGATCCCAGGGTCCTGGGATCGAGCCTCAGAGCCCCACATCGGGCTTCCTGCTCAGCGTGGAGCCTGCTTCTCCCTCTGCCCCTCTGTTCCCCCTGCTTGTGCTTCCTCTCCCCCGCCCCTGTGTCAAATAAATAAAATCTTTAAAAAAGTTTTTTGAAGGTAGAGATGGAAATAACTGTGTTCACATATGCATAATTTACCCCCATTTTATTAGAAGTGTAACTAAGACCAAAAAAAAGGAAACAATTTGATTTGAGGGGCAGGGAAAAGCTGATAATAGGGAAATAATTGGTTTATCCTGAATAACTTCTTCAAAAAGTTATGAATCCTAATTGCTTTATCCATTGTGCTCATAAATGCATTTATTTATAGATTAATAGCAAACACTTTGAGGATAATCCAGTATGTCTGCATAGTTCCTGAATATTAAGAGAACATTATCCTCTAGCACAATAGATTATTCTAAAGTAGCATGCATCTGTTATGTTCCCAAAACTCTAAAGCCATTTGTTTCTTCATATATCACATGCATGCAGAAGTTTCAAAATGTCATGATAAGAAAGTAAACCATTTTCAAAAAGTAGTATGAGAGCTGCTAAAATGTTAGTGAAGTTTAGGGGCACCTGGGTGGCTCACTCAGTTAAGCGCCTTCAGCTCAGGTCATGGTCCTGGGTCCTGGGATCGAGCCCGGCATCGGGCTCCCTGCCCAGCGTGGAGCCTACTTCTCCTAAACCCCCTGCTGCTGTTCCGCCTGCTCATGTTCACTGGCACACACGCTCGCTCTCGTGCATGCTCTCTCTCTCTCTCTCTCAAATAAATCTTAAAATAAAATACTAAGGAAGTTTATTTCTATTAAAACTAACCACCATTCCAAGGGACATACTGTTTTTTAATAAAAGGTTCAGAGCCTGTAGTTCACATTAATTATTAGAAGCTAGCCGTTTTCTTCAACTGAAGAGCCTCTTACAGAACATGAGAATTTAGCACTGCGAGGAACCTTGGAGTGATAGTTGTAACCTCACATAGCCTGTATGAGAACTCCTTTAACAACATTCTGACAGAGGGTCCTCCACTTGTTGCAATTCTAGCAACAGAGAGCAGACTCTCTCACACATGGTAGATAGCATTGGAGAAGGTAGATACATAAAAAGAAAAGTTTAGATCTGCCTTCAATAGAACTTTGTTAGTCCCCCTGGCACCCTCTGGAGCTGCATGAACAATGGCTATCTTTACTTTCTACCTGGAACTTCATAAAAAATACTGTCATGGCTCAAAGCAGCCAGAGATTCAAAAACACCAGACCAATATAATAGTTGTATTTCAAGTGTTCCTTGAGTGTTCATTCAGCAAACATTTGAGTCCCTGCCATGTGCTAGGTTCTGTGCCACCCAGGTGCCCCCGATTTTTGTATAATTTATAGCTATCTTTTTTTTTTTAAAGAGCTGATTCAATTTAAATTTTTTTTTTAATATTTTATTTATTTGACAGCAAGACAGTGAGAGAGGGAACACAAGCAGGGGGAGTGGGAGAGGGAGAAGCAGGCTTCCCGCTGAGCAGGGAGCCCAACTTGGGGCTCCATCCCAGGACCCTGGGGTCACGACCTGAGCTGAAGGCAGACACTTAACGACTGAGCCACCCAGGCGCCCCTGTTTGATAGCTATCTATCTTACAGGACTATGCAGACTAGACTTGCATTAGGTGAAGGATCTCAGCAATGTGTAAGAAGGATTAGAGACATGGTAATAGGTGAAAGATGATTTAGAAGCTATTGTTATAATCCAGATAAAGGATGAAAACCTTAACTTAAGGAAGGTAGCAATGGGGATGAAGAAACATTGATGGGTTCTAGAAATAAAGCAATGCAGTTGATAGAATTTGGTGCCTAATTTTGTGAAGGTGAGAGAGTAGTTAAAGATAGTTCCTACGGTCGCCTGGGTGGCTCAGTCGGTTAAGCGTCTGCCTTCAGCTCAGGTTGTGATCCCAGGGTCCCAGGATCGAGTCCCACATTAGACTTGTTACTCAGTGGGGACCCTGCTTCTCCCTCTGCCACTCCCCCCTGCTTGTGCTCTCTCTCTCATTCTGAGAAATAAATAAAACCTTTTTTAAAAATAGTTCCTAGTATTCTGACTTGGGCAACTTGATTTATAGTACTTATCCTTTGATTTGAAGTATAGGAAGGAAAATGAACATGACAAACTGCAGGTGAAAAGATGATGAATTCAGTTTAAGCCATATTTAATTTGAGGGCATTAAGATGAAAGTGTGCTGGGTGGTGGATAAGTGGATCTGGGTTTACAAGCAATGCCTGGGCTAGAAATAATGACTGGATGAGATATCCTCCAGGAAATGTGTAGAGAATCTAACAGGACAGAAACCTAGGGGACACTGGTATTTGAGGGATAAGCAAAAAAAGTAACCTGGTGAGACATTCAAGAGCTGGGATGGCGAGTCAAAGCCAAACTGCAAGGGTGAAAGTATAGATGGCCTGTGAAGAAGAAGAGGTAGTAGCCAGTAGCTGATGGTTTGAATTGGAGTTGCTTTATGTCTAAGTGAAGGTTTCCCGTAGAGAGTTAGATGTATAGATCTTGGAATTTAGACCTAGATGAAGAATGTGGGGAAGTAATAGAGCTCTATACAGAACAGGAGGTGAACCCAGAGAAGCAGAGATTTGTAAACAAAGATGGAGAAAAACGGTCTGGAAGTAGAAATGGAAACGTAGGAGGATGCCGCCACTCTGTCTGATGCTGTGATCTATGGGCTTCTGTGCTTCCACTTTGTGTATGTGTGTGTTCCTTACCTTCCTTACCCAATTTATCTTGCTTTTCCCCCAGGACAGAAGCTATGTCCAGTTAAGCCTATATCAGTCATTCAAATGTTCCAGTGTGTTAGTCTCTCTTCATTGTAGGAGCATCTTCCTTAGTAAAAAAATCAAAAACTTGAGGCTTAAATAGTGTTTAATAGTATGTTCTTCAAAATGTGTAAAATAAGGCAAAACCAATGTATATTACTGCAGAGGATATATCTAAGTATTCAGAAAGTAGAAGTTCCAGTGCTGTTCCTTTTCCTCTGAAGACTTAACTCTGTTCACCAAATGCTGTTCGTACAGGGTTCCAAATGGAGATCTGTAGAATGAGAGATGGTTACATTTGTGGCTCTCAGATATAGGATCAGCTCTTGTCTCTGTGAGATTTCAAGGCATTCTCATGTGTGCTGATGTAACTGAGCCTGAAATTGATTTTACATGATAATGTATTTTACATTCCAAGAGACAATATGTTTGCATTAGAGATAGTGGAAAATCTTAAACAAGAGTGGGAACATGGGAACGATGCTTGTTGGTGCTAATAATGGCTTCCCACCTTCTTCCTATTTATTTGCTATACCTACAGGATCAGGAAATGAAGTCAAATTGCTATATTTTTCTTGACTATATCTGTTCATAAGATATGTAGGTACTTGATAGAAATTTTTCAATAATGAAAATAACTGCCATTACTGAGTACTTCATACATGGCTGGCTTTGCTGAGTCTTCTATGTGCATTGTCTCATTTAATCCTCACTATAATCATGTGAGGTGAGTACTTTTATTTATTTTACAGTAAGAAAGCTGCAGTTGACAAGTCATTGACTTGTCCAACGTCACAGCTAGTAGGTGGGAGTTTCAAGATTAGAACGGTGACTTTGAGACTTCAGATGCAAGCTCTTAACCACCATGTGATCTTCTTCAGTTTACTCAGTTCAACAGTATGGTTTTCTGTTTTCTGTTTGTCTTGTCATTAAAGCTACAAATTTGTTTTATAGGAACAAGTAGTGATGAACTTGGACAGCAGGCTTCTGATCTTCCCTTTATACATCTGCTGTAACTTCCTGTATATATCACCAGAAAAAAGAACTGAAAATAATCGTCATCCAGAAAATCCAGAAAACTGAGGATCTCATCAATTGGAAACAACTGCAGCTTCCTTACTTTGAAAACTTTTTTGGCCAGCTTTAATTTAATGGCCCTACTGATACTCACATCTAAGGTGACTAACAATGACAAAGGCCTTATGGACTGTACAGATAATACAGAAGACTATTCTTATGCTCATTACATTTCTATGCATACATGAAAAAAAAAGTTTTAAAGCCAAGAAAATATCTGTCAAACCATTTCTGTTATAAAGATGTTGACTCGTGCTTTTAATTTTTAAGCATCAGAAGAAAACCACCATAGGCAAATTTCACTTTGCAGCCTAATATAGATTTGATTTTTAGTTTAAACTTTGATCCTACCTAATGTTAGTGAATGTCAGTTATCTATCTGTAAATTTATTTTTATTTGGCTAAAAGAATGCTAAAGGAACAATTTGAATGGCTAATTATAAATGCTCTTTCAGTTGGTGCATTTGAAGCTGTCCTTTAATTTTTTCAACTGCTCTTTATGATTCCTCCTCATACTCTGATATCCCTCCAAGCTGTGCTTGTTTTTAATCATTAAATACTTTTTTGTGGTTTTGGAGACTAAGCTGGGGAACTTTTTATTTAACATAAGCATTTTCGTGCTATTTTATTTTGTGTTTAATTTAGCTTTCTTAGGATTTTTAACAAAATCAGCTTTACACTTTCAAATGAACTTGATTGGGGGAGAAAATCAGTTTGAACCTGAGGATATTTCTTTGCCTTACATGGTCTTTTCTTTGACATTCTGTACTTTATTCTTAGGTCATGGATTATTTATGTACCAAATATTACACTTTAAACATTTTCATATTCTCTGATCTTCAGAATTATTTATGTTCAAATTTTGGTTGGGAATCCTATTTCCTACTTAAGCTCAGGACCTTATAACCTCTGAATTGAGTGCCTTTGAGTTCTACATGCTAATAGAAATTTCATAGTATATGTAAATAAGGTCGGAGGATCTCATATAGAAGCTTACAATAAAGCATAATGTAAAAATAGAACTTATTTTTGTCAAAAATGGGATGTACACTTGTCATGATTTATATGTTTGCTTCTTATGTTTACTGCTATTTTGCAAATAGCCATGCTCATCTTCTTTCCAGTCAGAGTAAATGCTTTTTGTGGTTAATGTATATTTTTAGTATATTTTAAAAATTGGGAATCATTTTTATGTATCTGTACAAATAATAAATACCCATTTGGAAAAAGAATAAATAAGCTCTTATATAAAATGGACACAAAACTTAGTTGAAAACAGAATTTTTTTCTTTCTAGTTAGATTTTTTTTTCCAATTAGATTTAACTTTTGGAATCTGATAGTTTTTCTTCCCCAGTAATAGGTCCATAGGTTCATAAATTGCTCTTCTCCTTTCAAAATTCATCCTCTTTGACTTAAAGGAACCTTTTAAATGCCCCCCCCACAAGCTGTCGTTTAAATGTTTTAAATATAATAATTTAGCTATATAAGAGTCTGCTTTTCTTATTTTTATATTTGGCTGTAATTATATCTCTTTCATGAGATACTTCTTTTTCTATCTTATTCTAGCATCAGAGGTTCCTTGCTAAAAAATATAAATAACAACCTTAATTTGAATTATGTGATTAATTGAATTTTTAGAAATATTGGGAGTAAAGAGAAAGTTTGAGTGTATTAGTGCGTAAAATTAACTATTTCATTTCATTATATAAATTAACCAAATTTGAATTATTTATGGTTCCTGTCCTTTGGTTCTTTCCTAGCCAAATTGCTTACATCATCCACAAATAATAACTACTTCTTCAATCACAAGTAGGTTGTGTTCTCATCTGAGAAATTGGTAATTGTCAGCTACTGATAGTAGAGATCTGCTTTTGTTTTTATTTCCTTAGCATCAATTTTTCATTCTTTTCAATAGGAATATTTTCCATAAAGTATTAATAATGTCAGCTGAATAGCATATAAACCATTATATATGAAAGATTTTGTGTTTGTCTGCCTTTGCCTTATACCATTGCCAAGTCTTTTTTTTTTAAGCTTCTAAGGCTAGAAAACAATATTTACCCATTAATAATTATTATCAGTAACTTGGTTATTAGTATCAATTAACTTCGTTATCAGTAAAGAAGAGGTCCGTAAGAGAAAATATTTAGAGTCTCATGCCAAAGAGGAATATGAACATACCTTTTTTTTTTAATGGATTTGCCTTGAAACTTAGCAAGGCACAGGCAAAATGAAATGAACAGTGGTAGTCACTAGCTTTTTATTAAGTGTTCAGTGGTTAACATTTTATCACATTTTAAGTCTTTGAATGGGATTACCATTATATATGAATAATTTTCAATATCGGGTGCAAAAGTGAGGTTACCAAGGGTCACTGTGGCTATTTTTTAAAAATTTTTATTTAAATTCAAGTTGGTTAACATATAGTGTAGTACTGGTTTCAGGAGTAGAATTTAGTGACACAGCACTCAGTGCTCATCCCATTTTTAAGGGCTTGAATTCAAGACCCTGAGATCAAGACCTGAGTGAGATCAAGAGTCAGCTGCTTAACCTAGCCACCCAGGAGCCCTTGTAGCTATTTAAATTTAAGTTAATTAAGATTAAATAGAAGTTAAAATTTACTTCCTCTGTCACACTAGGCACATTGTGCTTAGTAACCACATGTAACTAGTGGCCACAGTATTGGACAGTGCAGATATAGAATATTTCCATCATTGCAGAAAGTTCTGTTGAACAGTTGGTCCAGAATATTGAACTATTAATGTTGAAACTATATCAAAAGTTATATTCCCTTAAAGATGAACCCATGTTAATAATAGATGATAGAGCCAGGGGTGCCATTGGTAGATTAGATCAAATACTTGAAATGATAATGTTGATTCATAATTTAAAGCAATATGGACCTAAAAAACAAACAAAAACTCTCCTCAGCCAGAGAGTTTGACATTTTTCCCAGGGTCCAGGTGCAGGGGTATTAAAAAAAGCCTCAAACATCATCAGTCACTGTTAACTAGAGGTCAGACTGCATCTAACTTGGGGGGGGGGTGGAGATTACTGACTCAACAGCATGTACCCACATGTAATGATAAAGTAGGATACTTTTGTAAAAGCTGGTGATTTTTTAAAAATAGGACTAGCAAAGTAAAACAAAATTCAACCAAGGCTAGAGATTAGTACATTTGCGGACAATTACAGATTGTTAATGTTGGTTCTTATGTAAGGTATATACATACTTTAAATACAGTTTGCCTTTATTGAAAAAGTATTGTTTGGTTGGGGAGGGAACTTAAAAGCAAGTGTGTCAACAAGTGTTGACCCTACCCCACTTGAATTCCATTAAAATGGAATGAGGGTACCTCAAACTATTTATCAGAAATATAAAGGATTTTCTTCCAGATACAGTGCTGAAAGATATTCAGTGCTGGATAACCTACATCCTGAGAGAAGGCAATTTGATCATTAAGTAAGGAAGCCCTAGCAGAACCCAATTTCTGTCCCACATTTTAAAGGGGAAGGAGACTTTTGGAGACACACCATTTCTTTCCCCAGGTAAGGTTTAATCTCCATTAGGGAATTTATTCCTTTGGTTTTTCCCTTTCTCTTCTCTATCTTTACTTTTTTTTTCTCTCTATACTGGCTCATTCACACCAATATTTAAATGTGCTTAAGTTTCTCATATCTTTGAAAAACCAAACATATACCTTCACCCACTGCCGTATTTTGCCCTGCATCAGTTAAACTTCTCATAAAGGTTCTCCAAATTCTGTCTCCACTTCAAAACCCATGCACAACTCAACTCCACTAAAACTTCTGAGTCAACAGAGACTTTGTTGCTAAATTCTATAGGTTGGATGTATTTTTTTCATTCTTTTTCAGTAACACTTAAAATTTACCACTTTGTCCCCCTTACAAAGCAGCCTTCTCTTAAACTTCTCTGACATCACACTCACCCGGTTCACTCTGTTTCTCTGCCCACTCCTTTAGTCTCCTTTCAGTGACTCATCTTAGTCTACTCTGGCTGTCTCCAGGCCCTTTTCTGTCCTGAGGCTGCACCAAGTGATTTCATGCACTCATGGCTTCAGATGAACATCTATATTCTGATGATTTTCTTTTTTTTTAAGATTTTATTTATTTGAGAGAGAGCAAGCACAAGCATGGGGGAGGGACAGAGGGAGAAGCAGACTGCCCGCTGAGCAGGGAGCGCACCATAAGGCTGGATTCCAGGACCCTGGGATCATGGCTTGACTTGAAGGCAGATGCTTAACCAACTGAGCCACCCAGGCACCCCTCTGATGATTTATTTTTCTGTAGTTCCAGCCTGGATCTCTAATGAGCTTCAGATACACATCTAGAGGACTAGAACACTAATCCTCCTGAGTGTTCAAAGTGGCACTTCAAATGAGCATGTCCAGATCTGAACATTATCTTTCTCCTGAATTTATCATATATGCCTTATCTTATTAGCAAGTGATGCTACCATCTAACGATCCAGTTTAACAAGCCAGAATCCTGGATGTCATTCTTGAATCTTCTAATTCCCTCATCATCTTTATCCAAAATCACGTTTTTCCTGTTTTAGCAACTATTTCTCAAATTCAGCCACTTTCCGCTTTACCTACTGATACCATTCTAGTACATGCCACTGTAATTTCCGATCTAGATTATTTTACCAGCCTCCTATTGTATTCCCCCTCTAGTCAAGTATCCACATTAAGTGTTCTCTAAATAAACTCAGATCTGATTCCCTCCCATCTTTAAAAGCCCTCAAAGACTCCCTATTGCCTCTGCCTTAGAATAACTCTTTACCATAGTTTACAAGCCTATTTCAGCCTTTGTATTTCCTCTCCCTTGCCTCTTGCCCTCACACATTCAGACTCCTCTACTGCTGAAAAATCTCTTCCATATCTCCCCACAAATGTCACCCCATTTCTCCTGGCTAATTTCTAACTCCTTCTTAAGGTCTTGTTTGGACATTATTTCCTCTTGGAAACTTCTTGACAACCCTCCCCCTCAAAACCAGTTAGGGACCTGTCTTGTGCCCTCACAATATCTAATTCTTCCCCTATCAATGCACTCGCACGCTATTTACTTGTGTGTATCCCTCACTGGACTGCAAGCTACTCAAGAGCAGATTTGTGTTTTTTTCACTGATTAATCCTCTGGTATATAGGTGTGCAATAAATGTTTGTGTGAAAACTGTATTAATCATGTTTTTTTATTTATTTTTTGATTTTTTTGTCATCTGGGGCCTTGCTGAGACTGCCCTTCCCAGGGCTATCTGTTCCTAGAGATGGCAAATGTCTCTCCTTCTAGCCAATAAAAGCCCAAACCCTCCAATCACCTTCTTTCTCCAACTTTCACAAGCCAAGGCAATATTGCTCTGCCCTAATGACCCCAGGGCCAGGTACCAAACAACTCAGGATAGCCACTACATCCCAAAGCCCACTGAAACTTTTCTATCCAATCTTAAATCTCTTAGCTTGGGGAGCCTGGGTGGCTCAGTCAGTTAAGCATCCAACTCAATTTTGGCTCAGGTCATGATCTCAGTGTCATGAGATGCAGCCCTGCATCAGGCTTAGCGGGGTATTGGGCACCGAGCCTGCTTGAGATTCTCTCTCTCCCTCTTCCTCTGTCCCTCCCCTCCCTCCCCCTCTCTAAAAAACAAAACCTCTTATGTGTACCCTGCCTCTGCTGTTCCTTCCTGCAAAAACCACAATAAAAGCTCTCACCCATGCTTTCCCCTTGCTCCTGGCTCCTGACCCACCATAGTGCTTCCCTGTGTGGACATAAACTTTGTGTATTCTATGTCTAGAATTGGTTTGTTATAAATATTCTATGCCTGTGGGCAAGAACTGGAAAGAAAAATGGGAAAATGAGAACTGAATTGGGGTGGAGGGTATACAGCTTTTATCAGACCTTTAGAGAATATCAGGTAGCACATTTTAAAGCCCATTGTGGACACAGAAGATGAAGAAGCCACCAGGAAAGTGGGGCTAGATGAGCAGAGATGAAAACTCTGTTCTCACCTGAATCTTGTTACCAAAGCGGCAGGGTTTTTTTGTTTTGTTTTGTTTTGTTTTGTTTCTACTCAATACCATTTGCCAAATAACGAAACAGTATTTGAGGGCAACGAGGTAATTTATTCAGTAGCTAGAGAATAGAGAAGGGGAGCTTATGCTCTAAAGGTACCTTTTTCCTATGTCTCCTGTCAGGGTTTTATGGGGTTAAGGTAATTAAAGGGGATGGTAAGCAACCGGAACTCAGAGCTTTTGAGGAGAGAGGAGACTTCTCAGAATGAGAGGGCCAATTCTTTTCTTCCCTTAAATGAGTGCAGTCAGATCTATCATGGCACTGGTAGATGTGTTTTTTGTTACTCCTATTAGATGTCAATAATCCGGAGGTCACGTGGAGGGTTAGCATAGCCGCTAAACCGGACCAAAGCGGTGGAAAACTGGGTCATGGGGGGACTTGTTTGGAGTCTATGGCTTCTGGTATCTGGCCTTAATTTCTAGTGGCAAACAGCGTCTGCAAGCAGGACTCGAAAATTGGGCTATGTGGCTTGTATGGAGCTTTTTAGAGACTCCCTGGTGACAACGTCTGGGCTTAGAAGTTGTGGCACCCGGGCAGGCTGCACGATTATAGGCAGGCTCAGCTCAGCCTCGCTTCTTTAGAAGCCGGAACCCTCCAGAATCGTTTCTACGTTTTCCAGTCGGCGGTGAAAGCTCAGTACCCGGCCTTCCCGGAAGTTGTTGCGCAGTCGTGTCCGGGGCAGAGTGAGGTGGGGGAAGATTCCGGATGGGTCGCAGCCGCAGCCGCTCCCCACGGAGGGGTGAGTCCAGAGGGAATTTGGTCTGGGGCTTGGTCGGAGGCGAGTCCCCCCTCCTTCTTGTCTCCCCAAGTACGAACGCAGCGGAGAGAAAGGCCCTTTTCTCCTGAGGAGGAGAAGAGTGGGGCTGGATGGGGGCGGGGGGGACAAAGACCTGAGCCCTTTACTCTTCAGCCCTCCGGTTTGAAGGCGGTTTTCCTTCCTCTAAGTTAGAGTTTCGCGGACTCGTTGTCAGCCTCATACAATAACTTGTTATACTTGTGACTGAGGGATTTAGAATCAGACCACGGTTCCCTCACTTAATTTCTGGGTGGCCTTGTGCAAATCATCCAGCCCTTCTGAGACCGAATTCCCATAATTAGACATTCGGGGTAGTACTACCTATCTTTAAAAAACTGATGTGAGAATTAATGTCATATTCCATAACACTCAGCATGTGGTAATGCCTAGTTCTTGAATGCTCGATGTTAGCTTCCTTCCCAGTTTATATAATAGGAAAATCGATATTTAGAATTTTGCGTCCAGGGAGCGCACCTCGTAATATCTTCTGGCACCCACCCCCATAAATGAGGCAGTGGGATGTAAAGAACCCAGGACTTCGATCAGGAGATCTAACTTAGACCCTCGGTTCTTCCTCCTCTGGTTAGTCTTTATCACCTTCCACTTGATTTTGTGAAAAGTTGAATGAGGCCGCGATTCGCATATGGCTCTTGAGCACTTAAAATGTGCTCAGTCCGAATTAGGAAGTGCTGGTTAAGTGTAGAATACACTCCAGATTTCCTATTAAATACCAAAAAAAAAGTAATATCTCAATTTTCATATCGAGTACATGGTAAAATGATAATGATTGGGGTATATTGGGTCAAATAACAATGTTAAAATTAATTCTACCTGTGTCTTTTTACTTTTTTAATGTGACTACTAGAAATGGCTGGCATTATATTTCCATGGGACGGCGCAGCTCTAGATATTTGAGGTAATTTGCCTCTGCAAAAAGATTTTGTGTGTTTGTATTAGAGCGCAGGCGGTCCCGGTCCACATCCCGTGAGCGAGAACGCAGGCGCCGAGAAAGGTCCCGGTCCCGGGAGAGAGATCGGCGAAGGAGCCGCTCTCGATCCCCGCACAGAAGACGCTCCAGGTGAGTGCAGGGAAAAAAACCTGAAGTTTTACCGCAAGTCCCAAAGAAACTAGTCGCTGCCCTTAATTTTGTTTTTATCACTTATAAGAGATTTACAGTTTCATGAAATGAGGGGAACTTAAGCCCACCTTATTTTAAACCCAACATTTTCATTGGTAAATGGGGTTCATCACACTCTTTTGCCGTAGAGTTGCCTTGAGGAAGAAATGAGAAATAATACATGAAAAACACTAGCGTGGTGCTTGGCAGGAGTAGGAAATAAGGGTTTTGTATTTTGGGGGTTTTTTGGTTTTGGTTTTCTTTCTTTCTTTTTTTTTTTAAGATTTCATTTTTGTAAGTAATTTCTGTACCCAATTTGGGGCTCCAGCTCACAGTCCTGAGATCAAGAGTCACATGCTCCAGGGACTGAGCCAGCCAGGTGCCCCTGTTTTGTTTTTACTAACTTTTTGGTGATGAAGGTTTACTCAAATATGTAAACAAGATTGTGAGATCTTGAAAGAACCTTAGAAATTGACTCTTGATTCTTAATAAGTATCAACTGCTGTTTAAGTCAACTTTTTGTGTATTTGTAATTGTTAGAAACTTTTCTTTTTCTGCCTTACAAAAAATTTTTTTAGCCCTAGCTATACTAAGACTGATGATTACAGCAATAAATTATATTTCTGGTTTTTTGTTAACAGTCAGGGCCTAGGCAGAACCTTCTTCCTTGTTCTGCTATGTGGAATGCGCTCCTGGTTCTTTGGAGCCTGGCTTTTGTTCAGCCTTTACCTTTTAGGAGCTCATGTATATATTTGTCAATCACCACGTCACCAGTTATGTCTCTGCTTCTGATATCTTTACTTATTAAATATTAGATCCCCAAGACGACATAGATCCACATCTCCTTCCCCTTCTCGAGTGAAAGAAAGAAGAGATGAGGAAAAGAAAGAAACAAAAGAAACAAAGAGCAAAGAACGCCAGATTACTGGTAATGTTATTAGATAAATAACTAGGAAAAATACAGCCTTGTTCTTATAACTTTAGTCATGATAAAATTATAAAAGTATAATTTGGGAACATTTAAATATTAAATTTTTTATAGTGTTCATATAGTTTTGGGATTTTATCATTGTACCTTAGTTGCTCGTTATCTGTGGTGCTCCTGATATAAGAAGGCCAGTTAAAAACATGAGAATATTCTATTTTGGAAGTACCTTCAAAACTAGTGTCATATCTGATATTAAAAGTGGTCCTGCCCAAAGGCTCCAAGCATGTCGTTTTAAGCAGTCTCTTCTGAAGGAGGATGGAGAGCATATTCCCTCAGTGCATCTTAAGTTACATTGTGTCCAAACTGAAGAGGAATTTTTTCCAATTTCCTAGTCCTTTAGCTAATTGTTTTGTGTGTTCTCTGCTGCTGAGGTGGAGTAACTATTTTTTTTTTAAGATTTTATGTATTTTTTTTTTTGAGAGAGAGATTCTCGCAAGCGAGAACATGAACAGAGAGGAGAGACGGGAGAGGCAGAAGCAGACTCCCCACTGAGCAGGGAGCCCGATGTGGGGCTCAATCCCAGGACCTGGGACCATGACCTCAGCCGAAGGCAGACGCTTAACTGACTGAGCCACCCAGGCACCCTGGAGTAACTATTAATCTATTGCCAGCTCTCTTTTTATATAGACATGTCGTTGTCCCCTGCCCCTGGGTACAAAAGTAGAGCCTTCCTGTGAAACCTTTCCTAAGCTGAAATGGCATAAGGCAAAGAGTATCCCATGCTTTCTGAAAGTTTGTGGTACACCACTTTGCTTTTACAAAAGACCTACATTAGTACAGTAATTGCTTTTTTTCTTAAAAGGAAATATCCTCTTCACATTTCTTTTGGTTAGCAAAAAAAGTACTAATGTAGGTCTTTTTATTTATTTTAGAGAGAGAGAGTATGTGCATGAGCGAGCACAAGCGGGAAGGGGGAGAGGGAGAAAGAATCTGAAGCAGACTCCTCACTGAACACGGAGCCAGACATGGGGCTGGATCCCACAACTATGAGATCATGACCTGAGCCAAAGCCAAGAATTGGACGCTTAACCAACTAGGCCATCCAGGTGCCCCTAATGTAGGTCTTCTCTAAAAGCAAAGTGGTGTACCACAAACTTTGGGAAGGTGGGATGCCTATATATAAAATGATAGGGTTTTAAAAAAATTTGTATTTTTGTGTTATTTTTTGCAGAGGAGGACTTAGAGGGCAAAACAGAGGAAGAAATAGAAATGATGAAATTAATGGGATTTGCCTCTTTTGACTCCACCAAAGTAAGTAAAACACATAGCCAGTTAAACATTCTGATTTGAATTAATCCATTATTACTGTCACATTTTTCCATATTCTTTTACTGTTGCTTATAATTTCTTCCATTCATACAAGTGTTTTTCCTTTAGAAGACCTGAAGTATCTGTGTGAAAGGCATTGAGAGCACAGAGAAGGAAGCACTGAGCTGCCATTAGAATTCAGGGAGTGTTTGCCTCATGTTTAAGTTTGATCTTCAAGGTGATCAGATGAAGAGGAAGAAGATCATTTGAAGTAGAGGGAAGAACTCATGAAGATGCTATGTAGGCATGAAGGACATAGTGTATTGTGAGAATTTCAAATTCAGTGACTGGTAAAAGGGTGCTGATAGGCTGGTAGCTATGAATGAGGCTAGAAAGCGGGATAGGAAGCAAATTGTGGAAGCTTTTGATACTCTTAGACATACCAAGGAATTTAGAGTTAATTCTTTAGGTGTTGAGGAGAGGAAGCAATGATATGTGCATTTAGAAAGATGAGCCAGGACAACATGGAGGACAGATGGGAGACGGGTTGTTAGATTGGAGGCAGGGAGAACTGCTGGGTCATGCAAGTGAAAGATGATGAAGGCCTGAACTGAAGCCAGAATATTGAGCCTACTCAGGAGCCAGAGTTGGTGGTGGTGGTTGTGGTAGTGGGAGTGAGAAGTCAGTGATGACTCCAAAGTGACAGGCTGAAAGACTGGGGGATAGGGTTAACCAAGAAAGGGTTCTGGGAAGGGAAAGTGCTGTTGAACAAGAATGAAGTTCAGCTGCAGAGAACGATGACATTGGGTATCTGTATATACCTCATAGCTCAGAACGGGGAAGGATTGGAAAGTGAATGCTGTCTAGCCTTGATCATAACACTGAAGAGAATAAGGAAGTGGGGGAGGAAAAAGAGGGAGGGTTTGTGGAGAGGAAGATGAAGAGAAGGGATTATAGGGAAGGAGGGGGGAAGGAGTAGAAAGACATAGGGAAATGTGATGGAAAGAGAAATGGGGGAGGGGAGATGGAGAGAGGATGTGCAAAGAGGAGAGAAGGGATAGAGAGAGGGAGCTAGTAAGAATAGAAGGAATAGTATGTGTGGAAGGAATATATATATATTTTCTTTGAGAATATGGTTTAAAAACATTCTCTAGAATCTTAAGTCCATGTGGTTTTGTAAATGGAAATTGAGATTTTTAAGAAAAATTGTCAAAAATAATCCACTTCCCCTAATCTTTGAATGGAATGGGCTAATCCTAGATGCTGTAAACGTTTCTTACTAATGGTTGTGATTATGTAGGGCTCACATGTTTATAAAATGACAGTGTATAACTCAAGAGGAATACTGAGGCATGACTGTTCTGAGGTAAGAAAATTATGAATTCTGGGGCACCTGGTTGGCTCAGTAGGTTAAGTATCTGCCTTCAGCCCAGGGTCCTGGGATTGAGCCCGCATCAGGCTCCCTGCTTAGCGGGGAGCCTGCTACTCCCTCTCCCTCTGCCTGCCACTCTGCCTGCTTGTTCTCTCTCTCTCTCTCTCAAGTAAATAAATAAAATCTTAAAAAAAAAAAAAAATTATAAGCTCTTGTTTTCACAAATGGTTATTTCCCATTTTGGAATTTAATGCAGTTTATGTATCAGTTTTTTTTCCTTCAGTATACCAAATCCTTATTTGTTTTTCCAAAGAATATTTTATAAGTGAAATGGTTTATTAATATGTAGACTGGGTGAACAAAAATATCTCCAAAGTAAAGCAACTATAATTTTGCTGTTTTTAGAAGAAAACAGGGAGGGAGCCTATTAGAATTATTTTCTTGGGGTGAGGCTGGGGCAGCGGGTTTACTTTTGCCTGTTAAGTTTGAAATTCTGAGAATCAGATGTAAAAATGGAGCCATACTTTTAACTGTAGTCTATGCTGAAGGTGTTTGTTTATAAAGGAAAAAAATAGATAAGAATTCATAGATCCCATAAAAATTAAGGAGTACCATGAGAACAAATGATGTCAGTTGTTTTCTTAAGGACATCTACAAGGATGTTAATTTAGTTTGTATGCAGTTGGCTTCATGGCCATCAGTTATTAAGCCTCTCAGTTCATTTGCTTTTCAGTAATATGTATCTTTTTTTTTTTTAAAGATTTTATTTATTTATTTGAGAGAAAGAATGAGAGAGAGCACATGAGAGGGGGGAGGGTCAGAGGGAGAAGCAGACTCCCCGCTGAGCAGGGAGCCCGATGCGGGACTCAATCCCAGGACTCCAGGATCATGACCTGAGCCGAAGGCAGTCGCTTAACCAACTGAGCCACCCAGGTGCCCTCAGTAATATGTATCTTGTGATATTTCATCATAGACCTTTTCATGTGCCGATGTAGTCACTTATTTTGCCTTCCATTTTCACATTCTAGAATGTTTTAAAGTTTGGTTATGTTTATTAATGGATAATTTTCTATTTCAGCATGTAAATCAAAACAGGCTAATAATACACAAGTCTGCAAGTAGTTTTCAAAAATCAATAATCCTTTAGGAATTGAACTTATAAAATGGTTAGCATCATTTACTTTTTTCCTAAGCCAGTCTTTCCAAATCATACCTACTTCCTATTCTTGGGAGGGCAAAACTATACACCTCAAGTAATTTACCTAGTATTCTACTCTCCTCACCACACCCCCACAATGTAGTGAAAACAAGAATAGAAAAGTAAGACCAAATACATTTTTTTTTTTAAGATTTATTTATTCATTTTTGGAGAGAGTGTGAGCAGGGAGAGGGGCAAAGGGAGAGAGAGAATCTCCAGCAGAACCGCTGAGCGCAGAGCCCAACACAGGGCTCAATCCCACAACCCCCAGATCATGACCTGACATGAGTCAGAATCAGACACTTGACCAACTGAGCCACCCAGGTGCCCCCAAATACATTTATTTTAGCTCCACCTCAAATATGTATCTTACCTGTGCGTGACTTCAGGGCAGTGGATAAGAATCCTTTTTTTATCCTAATACAAATATCTAGTAAGTGTGCTATGCAGTTAGGGTATACTCCCATGAGTAATAGTGGGGGAGGGAGGGAGGGAGGGAGGGAATTGGAGGTCACGTGTGTGTGTGTGAGAGAGAGAGAGAGAGAGATGGCATTAATCGGTGGTGTTCATATATTTAACAGTTATTTTCTGAGCACCTGCAAGTTCAGGGCCTAGGATGTGAGAATGCAAAGGTGACTCGCATCCATCTCCCTCCAACAAGAAGCTTTCAGTCTCAGGGGAGGTAACATCATGTATATACATCATGATAATGCAAGGTAGAAAATGGAAGGTATTATGAGGGAAGCACAGTTAACATTTTGTGGAAAGGTAGAGGGTGATTTTCTGGCAGCTGGACCACTTGAATTGGCCCTTGAATGATGGATAAGAACCAGATGGTTGGGGTTCTTGGATGGGGGTTGAGAAGGCAATTTAGATATAAGAAACAGCAAATGATGAGTTAACTTGGCCAAATCAAAGGACCCATAAAGCAATTAGTGAAAAAGAGGGTAGATACCACATAAGAAAGGCTGATAAAAATGACACTTAACATTAGCATGTTACTCTGTACTCTGATTTTTTTTAAGATTTATTTAGAGAGGGGAGGTGGGAGGGGCAGAGGGAGAGGGAGAGAATCCCAAGTAGACCCCCAGCTGAGCGTGGAGTCCCATGCCGAGCTCCATCTTACGACCCTGAGATCATGGCCTGAGCCGAAACCAAGAGTGGTACACTCAATCGACCGAGCCACCCAGGCGCCCCTGTATTCTGATTCTTGATTTAAAAATCAAAATGTCAAGGCCTGTGCAAGAAATGAGATCTGAATGAATGGTGACTCTTCCAGCTGTGATTTGAGAAAGCTATGAGCTAAGGTCATAAGTTAAATTTTTCTAGAGAAAATATCCATAACTGGTATTTGGTTTCAAAGAATTCTTGGACCAAAAAAGGTTAGGCTCTGCTACCCTATTTCTCTGCATGCCTTGCACATAAATATATATACCATGAATGTTTGTTGGCTTGAATATTTGAATATGTTAGATTATGTATGTAAAAATGGGAACAGAGTTGTAATACATGGGAGTTCATGGAATATCATCAGTGTCTGAAAATTCTTTCATTGGGCTTCCTCATTCTTAAAGTTTTTTTTGTTTTAATTTGACAGAGAGAGAGAGACAGTGAGAAAGGGAACACAAGCAGGGGGAGTGGGAGAGGGAGAAGCAGGCTCCTCACTGAGCAGGGAGTCCGACGCAGGGCTCGATCCTAGGACCCTGGGATCAGGACCTGAGTCGAAAGCAGACATTTAACGACTGAGCCACCCAGGCACCCCTGGGCTTCCTCATTCTTTTTTTCTTCTTTTTTTTTTTTTAAGTTTTTTATTGGGGCTTCCTCATTCTTAAATGGATTTTGCCATTTAAGTATGTCTATAGGATCCAGCTCTTTGGGGCATTTAATATATCCTTTCCATTTTTTATATTTGTTTATTGCTTTTCTCTAGGGGAAAAAGGTGGATGGCTCTGTAAATGCCTATGCCATAAATGTGTCTCAGAAGAGGAAGTACAGGTATGCTTAGCCCCCATTATTATGTTTGAACTAATCATATAAATTAGGTGCTTGGGAAAGAATTTATTTATGAGATAGTTGTGTTTATAGGAAATGTAGCAGTTTCCATATAGTCCCTTGTTTTGACATTCTTTGCTTATATTTTGGTGTGTTAAAATAATTTCCAATTTACATGTGAACCACTATTATAGAGAAGGCTTAAATCTTTTAAAGCTCAACATTGTTCTTTCTTCAAAACAGCTTAATCTCAAATCTTTAGACTTTAATTTCATTATAATTATAGGTTTCAATTAAAGCCATCCTGTGAGTGATTGTATAAGGATTTCAATTGTAAATATATTTTTCTGTTAAGTATATTAAGTATATTAAGGCATATTTTATTAATATCACAGAAAAAAAAACAATCCATACCTGAAATCTCACTGAATTCCTAATGAATTGAAAAGTCAAGACATCTTCAAACATGCCTTTCTCTCAACCTTTACTACTGATAAAAGACTAATATTCCAATTAACTTAGAATATGTATAATTTGATCTGAGAATTCTGTGAGGTAAGGTGAGGACCAGAATTATCTTTAACGGTCCTTTTTAAAATTATTTTCAAAGAAAGTCTTTTTTTTTTAAAGATTTTATTTATTTATTTGACAGAGAGAGAGACAGCAAGAGAGGGAACACAAGCAGGGGGAGTGGGAGAGGGAAAAGTAGGCTTCCCGCCGAGCAGTGAGCCCGATGCAGGGCTCGATCCCAGGACGCTGGGATCATGACCTGAGCTGAAGGCAGATGCTTAACAACCGAGCCACCCAGGCGCCCCTCAGAGAAAGTCTTAATGAGGAGAACTAATACAATATGCAGTTGGATTTACTTGATGGGTACCTGTTTTGGAGTTCTTCTCTATTTCCTTATTGTTACCTATAAATACGGACTTTCAGCTTTTTTTTTTTTTAAGTCTGTAGAATCTTTCCAAATAATTTTGAAAGTATATTTCCATACTTCTAGGTTATTTTGAAAGTGAAATAATATCCTTAATGTGCATTAAATAACCATGAATACTTTTTACCGTAGACTTTGCCAATTTAAAGATGATTTATATTATTATTATTATTTTATAAGAGGAGTCGGAATTTTTTTTTAATAAACAATGAGTTTTCTCTTCTCATCATAGGCAGTACATGAATCGAAAAGGCGGATTCAACAGACCTTTGGATTTCATTGCATGAGAATTGAAATGTTAAAGAATGATTTTTTTTCCCCTTGTTCAGAAGAGTGGATTTTGTATTTCATATTTAATATGCATTAAAAACAGGATCACAGTCCTTCCTCCTTGTAAAGTAAGAAAATTTTATTTATGATGTGTGCAGTTCACTTACCCTGACTCACAAAAAGGAAAGTTAAATACTGCATTTTTTTCTTTTAGGAAATATCGTTTGGGGCAAGCATCAGCCCTATTTTTGGTTCTTATTGTTGTGGAAGCTGTATATGTTTTCTTCTTGGATGCTTGTTAGGACTTTTTAAAACACATAAAAGTAATTTGGATGTAAGTTTCTCAAATAAAGCAATATTTCTACCCTTTTGTATTTGATAAATATTTGTATTGCTATGTAAAATTGTCCCCCTACACAGTTTTTTCCTACATAGATTTAGATTTCATTAGTAATTTACAAATAACTGGATTTTTGTATCTTCTGTGGTTTTTTCCCCAATTATTTCCTCCATTTATTGTTTTTCCTCATTTTGAAAGCAATATATGCTTATTATATAAAAACTTGGGAGAAACCAAAAAGTAAAAAGAAAGGCCAAAAATCATCTATAATCTATCCCCAGAAACAATCAATATTTTGGTATATGTCTTTCCAGACTCCTATGGTATATATTTATTGCTCCCACCCATTATATCAGAATTTATATGCTGTTCTCTTTTGCTAATCTTTTTTCTCCCAGGTACTGTGAACAGTTTTTAATACTCTTACATGTTATTTAGAAACTTAACTTTTAGTTAAGTTTAGCTACTTGGTTGTACCATAATTTATTAGCTAGTCTTTTATGAGCAAACTTTGGGTTCCCTCCCATGACTTGCTGTTTTAATTAAAACTGTGAGTACTATCCCTGTTACATATATCTTTTTGTACTTTTTTTTTTTTAAGATTTTATTTATTTATTTGACAGAGGGAGACACAGTGAGAGAGGGAACACAAGCAGGGGGAGTGGGAGAGGGAGAAGCAGGCTTCCTGCCGAGTAGGGAGCCTGATGCAGGGCTCGATCCCAGGACCCTGGGATCATGACCTGAGCCGAAGGCAGACGCTTAACGACTGAGCCATCCAGGGGTACTTTATTATTTCCTCAGGTTCTGTTCTAGATGTGGCATTGCTGGGTGAGATAAAGGGGTATGTGTGCATGTCGTAAGGCTTTTGATGTGTGTATGGCTAGAAAGGTAACAACCAACTCTCACCAGTAAAGTATGAGCATACCGACTTCATGTATGTGCACCAATGTCAGGTGTAATACTTGTTTAATTTCCAATCTGGTGGGTAAAATAGTATTTGGTTTTAATTTGTTCAGTTTCTAAGGAGGATGAACATTTAAAAAATATGTTAACCATATATATATATATATATTCTTGTGAAATGCTAATTCCAAGTCTTGGATCCACTTGTCTTTTGGCAAGCTTTTCTTTTTCTTAGTTGAGGGAAGCCCTTTTTATATTGAAGATAACAGCCACTACCCATTCTGTTTCATATCTTGCTGATATTTGAGGCTCTGTGGTTAGATTTTATTTTACTTTATTTTTGAGTAAGTAATACAAACACATGGGGTATGTAGTGAAGAGCTAATTGTGTATCCTTTCAGAGATAGTCCATGTATACATGAACATATATGTGTACATATCTTACTTTATTATTCAGATGTAAGCAGACTCTACACACTATTCTGCACCTATCCTTTTTTATTTACTAGTATATCTTCAGATTGTTTCTTTTTCTTTCTTTCTTTCTTGCTTTCTTTTTTTTTTTTTTTAAATTTTAAGTAGGCTTCACACCTAGCATAGAGCCCAATGCAGGGCTTGAACTCACAGCCCTGAGATCAAGACCTGAGCTGAGGTCAAGAGTCAGACACTTAACCAACTGATCCACCCAGGTGCCCCAAGATTGTTTCTTGTCAGTACATGTAATACTGCCTCTATTTATTAATGACAGCAGTTACAGTTCATTATAGGATGGACTATAATTTAATAGTCCTTATTGATGGGCACTCACACCTTTTTTTTAAGTCTCACTATTTTTAAAAATTTTGGGGCACCCAGCGGGCTCATTCAGTGGAGCATGTGACTCTTGATCTCGAGGTTATGAGTTAGAGCCCACCCCACATTGGATGTAGAGATTACTTTAAAAAAATAAAATCTTTAAAAAAAGAATTCTACGGGTGCCTGGGTGGCTCAGGCATTAAGCGTCTGCCTTTGGCTCAGGTCATGATCCCAGGGTCCTGGGATCGAGCCCCGCATTGGGCTCCCTGCTCATCAGGAAGCCTGCTTCTCCCTCTCCCACTACCCCTGCTTGTGTTCCCTCTCTTGCTGTCTCTCTCTGTCAAATAAATAAATAAAAATCTTTAAATATTAAAATTCTATAATCACTATCCTTATATGTAAATGATAAATGATTTTACAAGCATTTTTAGCTGGATTGTAAATCCTTATTGCATCTGAAATTTGACCACCTATTGTAGATCTTTATAAACCTTCCTGGCAAATTCATTTCCTGTAAAGAAAATAATAGTAGTGTGACTGCATTGCATAATACAGTACACAGAGCACCTTGGTTTATTTAATCCTTATGAGATAGAGAAGGTACTATTATCTCCATTTCCCAGATGAGAAAGCTGAGGCTATTCAGACTAAGCAGAAAATACTGGGATTTATGCTACATCAGTTGCACAATTTGTAATACCCATTGTACAAGTGTCCCTGCCCCTAGGTGGTTAGATTATTTTGCTTGGAGTTTTTGCCAACTGAGCTGTGTGTCTCTAAATTATCCATGATAAGGACTATTTCTGACCACATTTGTGCACACTTAAAGAAGGCAGATACAACTGTGGTTTTAATAAGGAAGCTAAAACTTCTGGGATAAAATAATATAACCAAAGACCAAATTACAGATTTTTGGATTGTCATCTTAGTGTGGTGTTAATAGAGATTTGACTTGAGATCCTCAAAGCAGCATACTTTGTAAACAAGTAACATGAGAATACCTCGTAGGTCAATAGGTTTGCTCTCCATGAGCTAACACCAAGAAATGGAAGAGGAAGACATCTGAAAAGCCAATGATAAGATACCTATGATCCCAAAGGAAGTCCTGTTTTTGTTTTTTAAGATTTTTTATTTATTTTAAGAGAGCACGGGGGAGGAGCAGAGGGAGAGGGACAAGCAGACTGTGCTGAGTGCGGAGCCCGATGCAGGGCTCAATCCCACGACCCTAAGATCATGACCTGAGCCGAAATCAAGAGTCAGATGCTGAACTGACTGAGCCACCCAGGCGCCCTGGGAAGTCCTGGTTTAAAGGAAGTTTTACCCATCAGATCATCTGATTCTGTAAGAACAAATATGGAGCATCTTTGTCTTCCTCTAACAAGCTGCTGCTTCTCAGACATAAATTGTACCACATCTCTTTTTTTTTTTTTTTTAAGATTTTATTCATTTATTAGAGATCGAGTGAGAGAGAAACAGCATGAGAGGGGAGAGAGTCAGAGGGAGAAGCAGGCTCCCCACCGAGCCGGGAGCCCGATGTGGGACTCGATCCCAGGACTCCGGGATCATGACCTGAGCTGAAGGCAGTCGCTTAACCAACTGAGCCACCCAGGCGCCCCACATCTTCTCTTTCTAAGTATCTAAATGTTGGAGTGCTCTGGGGTTTAATTCCTGGACTCTCCATTCTCTTCCTTAGTGAGCCTTCAATGTGGCTTCAAACATCTGCCATGGCTCTCTTCCAGCCTGGCCATTTTACTGAATTGCAGGGATTGTGTAATTGTGCAACTATGTGCCTAGATTATTAGGCACAACCTTAAAGTTAAGGTTGGCTGAGTTCTCCCTTCCCTGCCTAGCCGCCTCTGAGGCTTCCCCATCTCAGTAAATGGCCCGTCCTCTCACTCCTTTGCTCAGACCAAAATCCTTAGGGTCATCTTTGACTCCTCTCTGTCTCATACCCCACATTCATTAGCAAACTTTTCCGCTGTAACCTCAGAGTATATTTTGAATCTAACTGCTGTTCCCCCCCACCAGATTTACTGAGGTAAAATTGACATACAAAATTTTAAGATATTTAAAGTATACATCATGGTGATTTGATAGACATTGAATCCGACCACTTACCACCTAGATTAACATAAGTCATCTGTCTTTTTGGACTACTGCAATAGCCTCTCTTGCTGCCTTGGTTTATTCTCCACCCAGCAGCAGAGGTGAACCTTTTAAAATGTGCATCAGGTCATGATTTCAGCTCAGGTCATGATCTCAGTGTCATGAGATCGAGCCCAGTGTCAAGGCTCCACACTGCAGAGTCTGCTTGGAATTCTCTCTTCTCCCTCTGTCATCCCCCTCCCTACCCCCATGCACTCACTCTCACTTGCTCTCGCTCTCTCACTAAAAGAAATCTTTCGAAAAATAGAATAAAGTCCAGTCCATACTATAATGTACAGCCCTGTACAGTCTTAACCCTGGCTTCCCACAGTCTCACCCCCTTGCTGCTGCCTTTAGCCGTGCTTCTGACCTTGCTGTTCCTTGAGAACACGTGTGAATCTACCTCAGGAGTCTTCACACTTGCTCTTCCTCGACTTCCACCCCAATTTGCCTGGGTAGCTCTAGGTCTCTGCCCAAAATAAGGTCATTTCTGACCGTCCTATCCAAAATAGCAACCCTGCTTCCTTCCCTCTATCCCTTTACCCTGCTCTACTTATTTTAACATTTAAAAAATTGAGCTAAAATTCACCCTTTTACAGTGGTACCATTTCACTGGGCTTTAGTATATTGTTATTTTTTTTTAAGATTTTATTTACTTGAGAAACAACACAAGCAGGAGGAGGGGCTGAGGGAGAGGGAGAAGCAGGCTCCCCGTTTAGCAGGGAGCCCAACGTGGGGCTCAATCCCAGGACCCTGGGACCATGACCTGAGCCACCCAGGTGCCCCTGGTATATTCAGTTATGTATCATCACCCCAAAGAGACCCCATACCCAATTAACAGTCACTATTCATCCCTCTGTGCCACCCTCATTCCCCACCCCTGAAACCACTTACGTACATTTTGTCTCTAAAGATGTGCCTATTCTGGCCATTTCATATAAATAGAATCATACAGTATGTGGCCTTTTATATCTGGCTTCTTTCACTTAACAATGTTTTGAAGGCTTGTTCATATTGTAGCGTGTGTCATCATTTCATTCCTTTTTTATGGTCAGTATTCTGTGAATCTACCACATTTTTATAATCCATCAGTTGGTAGGCATTTGTGCTTTACTTTCTGGCTTTTATATATGATGATGCTATGAACAGTAGTATACAAGTTTTTGTATGAACCTATTTTCAGTTCTCTTGGGTATATAACTAGGTGTGGAATTGCTGGCTCATATATTAATGTTTGACTTTTTGAGGCAATGTCAAACTGTTTTCACAAGCAGCTGCACTATTTTACATTCCCACCAGCATATGTGAAGCTTAACAGTTTCTTCATATGCTGTGCAAAGTTTCCTTTTCCTAACAGCAATTATCACTGCCCGACATACTGTATTCATTTATTACAGTCTGGTTCTTACACTAGACATCCAGCTCTGAGAACTGGGGCTTCTGTCTTGTTTGTTGCTGTAGCCCCAGCACCACAAAGTTCCTGGCACAGAGTAAAGCACCCCAAAATACCTGCTCAATCCATGAAAACAGTTCAGTAACCTTTTTTTCACTTAACCACTTCCTTTGATCTTTATGTTAACCTTTAGTTACCCAAGTGATAAATGGACACATTTTTTCCTGTAAAAATTTTAAAACATGACAGAGCTAAACCCCTTTTGAACAGTACCCACAGTCCTATTGCTCCTTCGCTGTGAGTCCTTTGCAGTATATCCTTCCAGATTTATGCCTGTGTACCTATGTATGTAACAAAGTTGTAAAGGAGGAAAGTACATAGTTGGGGCTTTTTTTTTTTTAACACATAAATTATATGCTCTAGGAACATTTTACAGCTTATTTACTCAACACTGCATTAGAGATCTTTCCATGCCAATATATATACCTCTACTTTTTTTAACTGCTACCATAGTGTTTTGTGGAATGTACTACCACTGTTTGTTTAGCTATTGCTGTTTTTAAAATCACAAATAATTCGTGGAGTAACTAATTTTTGGAAAGCAGCATTTTTAAAGGTTTTTAAAGCTTCTATCATGATATTAGATCATCCAGTAATACCATGATATCAGAGCATCCAAAGTAGCCACAGAGAAGGGGATTAATATTAAGGAAGTAGCAAATTTCAGTCCTGATTTTTATACTTCAAAGAATAAAATCAATTCCTCAGAAACATATAAAACAAAATTCATTTTAATGTCATAGTGGTTAGGTGTCAAGCTCAGTTACAAATAGAGTTTTTTTTAATTCCCACAGTTCGGAACTTTTTAGACTTTTAAGGATTATAATACAACAGTAGTCTTCCTGCCACTCTGAGGGATTCACTGAAGAGGTATCTCTGTATCACAGTTCCCATAGCATTTAATGAACCTGCCATTTGGCATTGGCATTTATATACTATCTTATGCCTTCCTGGCCCTCAAAGGAGGCTAGGTCTTAGCCTTCTAAAAGATGCAGTAAAGATTAACAAGTATATCTTCTGTGTTTATGCGTCCGCATTTTCAGCATTTTCTTTCTCCTTCCCAGTTCTATTAGTTTATCTTGATGCCTGCTTGAAAATGTGAACTATTTTTGAACAGCCCATATTCATGCATAACTTTTTATTTAAAATTTTGGTCACAAAGTTTAGGTTCAAACATTCTTGAATTCCCATTTTTTCACTTTTGGGTTTGTGCCTAGTAGTCAATGTTTTTATAATGCCTTTGAGGCACTAGGTGCTGGGGGTCACCACTTATTCTTTGTTTTAGGATTTTTACTTCTTTCTTCAAAACCTGTACTTCTAGATTATCTTAACTAGACATTGTGTACATTTGTGTAAAATAATTTCTAGAAAAACAAAACAAAATCTTTGTTTTGTACTGCTTGATCTCCAGTAGATGGCACCAAATACCCTTTAAAATTCATGATACTAATTCCTAGTTGGTGTTATTGGCTAATTGATAATTTCTTCCACCACCACCACCAGGGAATAGAAAGGGTCCATTCTTTCATCTAATTCTATGATTGTTATATAACTTAGTATTTTTGTCCATGGTTTAAGATAAACCTGTTGGTGGGCACCTGGCTGGCTCAGTTGGAAAAGCAGTCAACTCTTGATTTGAGGTTCCAAGTTCAAGCCCCATGTTGGGTGTAGAAATTACTTAAGAATAGAACCTTTAAAATTTTTTAAAAAGGGGCGCCTGGGTGGCTCAGTCGTTAAGCGTCTGCCGTCGGCTCCGGTCATGATCCCAGGGTCCTGGGATCGAGCCCCGGGTCAGGCTCCCTGCTCAGCGGGAAGCCTGCTTCTCCCTCCCACTTCCCCTGCTGTGTTCCCTCTCGCTGTGTCTCTGTCAAATTAAAAAAAAAAAAAAAGATAAACCTGTTAGTATTTAAATTATTAATTTGCTATTTCTGACAGCCTTTTTTTCCTTTTTATGTAGTGGTTTTCAATCACATTGATTCAAGGGGAAGGATCATGGTATTGAAATAAGACTGGACTAAAAAAAGTTGAGGATAAGAGAAAGAAAGACATATGCTGAATGTTCATGATAAAATCACAGAAAATATAAAAGTCCAAATTTAAGATAATGAAGTGTTGTTACTATTGTCAGTTTTAGTACTTTAGTAGAATTGTATTCATTTCATTATGACTTTCAAATTTGTTTTACAGATAACTTGAAATTAAAAAATACTCATTAAATGGGGCACCTGGGTGGTTCAGTCCGTTAAGCGTCTGCATTTGGCTCAGGTCATGATCTCACGGTCCTGGGATCAAGTCCCACGCTCCTTGCTCTGCTGGGTGTGTGCTTCTCCCTCTCCCTCTGCCCCTCCCCACCGCTTATGTATTCTCTCTCACTCTCTCTCTCAAATAAATGAAATCTTAAAAAAAAAAAAAAACTTGTTAAAAATGTTATATCCCGGGACGCCTGGGTGGCTCAGTCGGTTAAGCATCTGCCTTCGGCTCAGGTCATGATCCTAGGGTTCTGGGATCGAGTCCTGCATCGGGCTCCCTGCTCCGCGGGGAGCCTGCTTCTCCCTCTGCCTCTCTCTGTCTCTCATGAATAAATAAATAAAATCTTAAAAAAAAAAAACTTTATAAGAAAATGTTATATCCCCATTCTCATTTCTAACTTTGTGCTTTCTTGAAAACCTGTATCTTCAGTGTATTAGCTTTCATAAGAATAAGCTTTTAGATTCAATTAACCATTAAAACCAGAAAATGTTTCCTATACGTCAGGCATGGTTTACTACATTTATTCTACCTGTTAATTCTGTTGACTTTAATTTTAATGGATTTGTCAACCACTAAAAAGGACACCTTTAAAAAAATTTCCATCATGATTACATTTACAATGTTTTTCTTCCTTTCCCGCCAGTGTTTGTCAGTGTTTGTGACTCAGTCTGGAAATCTATTTCTTAACTCTTGTTTAAGGCATTGGTAGCATGGGCTGTAGGCAGAACAGATCTAGGTTCAGTCTCCATCATCCAAGGAAAGTCACTTAGCTTCTCTGGGTCTCAGTTTCCTCGTGTTCAAAATGCAGATAATTAACCTATGTAATTGGGTTATACTGAGGATTAGTGATAATGCAGGTGACACATAGTAAGCTATTTTCATATATTGCCAACAGTAAATTTTTTTAAAAGCTTTATGAAATACGTTCAAGCTTACCGAGACATTTATTCCTCCTTTTTAGGACATCTCCAGATGTCAGTATATTAATGTAACTTGGGTCTCAGGATAGCTAGCTTTCATCTCAAAAATCTTGATAGGCTTAGGGAATAATCCTTAAATTTTTAGTTCTATATATTTCTATTGGTACCACCCCACACACAAACACCATTTATAGACTTGAACAGAGGAAGTTTTTTTTTTTTTTTAATGTTTTCATCTAGAATTAAAAGAGAAGGAAAGACTGGAAGAGATTGGGTCAAAGAATCTCGGGATTCAGCGCCAATCACTCTGTAGGTGCAGTAAGTTTTTGAGCTTTTGAAGCACCCTCTCGTGTGAGGGAGTGATTATGCCTGCACTTGGGGTAGGGGTGGAGAGTGCCATAAAAGACAAGCAGGGCTGTAAAGAGCCGCCCGATTTCACCGCTTTCTGAGGAGAGAAAAAACGCTGGGCGGCGAGCATTCCACGCGAGCCAAGCTTTTTCCTTCAAGCCCCACAGCCACGTGGCGCCCGCGGGAGCCCAAGGGCCCATCAGGTTGCCGGCGCCGCTCTCCCTTCAGGGGGATTCGCGGCGGGGCCCACCGCCGCCCGGGTCCCGGGAAGCCTGGAACCTCTGGGACCGTGGCCGCCAGACCAAGGGCTCCGGCCCGGAACCCGAGCGGGACAGAGCGCCCAGGCGACGCGCGGTGCCAGCCTTCCACTCGAGGGATACCCGGCAGGCCCTCGGAACTTTTCCCCGGGGACAAGTCCAGGCAACAGGTCCGAGGCAGGGCCGGGATGGGCGGGAGGGAGCCGAGCTCCACGGCGGCCGGTGAATCAGCGCCGGCGCCCAGGTCAGCCCTCCCAGCCAATGCCAGATCAGGGGAGAAGTAGCGGCGCCGCTGATCACCAGCCACTCAGGGCTCGCTGGGCCCGGAGAAAGGTGACGTCATCGTAACTGGGAGGTTTCAGCCGGCTCCACCAATGGGAGATAGGTAAAGTGGCTCGCTTTCTGTAGCTCTGGGCCAATACTAACAAAGCAAAAAGGGGTTGTCGGTATAGAACCAATGGAAAACAGGGAAGGAGCACGAGGCGGAGTTGCGAATCCTGTCACCAATTGGAAAGAGGGGGTGGAGCCCGGGCCTTGTCAAGCATGACCAACCAGAGAGAGGAGTGGACTCTAGGGGGCGGGGCCGTAATGCTTTTCCCCAATCGGACAAGGCTAGGGGCGGGGCATTCTTCTGGGTGCCCAATGAGGAACGCAGCCGAAGCGGGCCTGTCAAGAGAAGGGCCTGGGGGCGGGGGGATGGTGAGTCGGAGATAAACACTCCGCGGTGGTGGCGGCTGCTGCTCTTCTTCGGGTTCTGTCACAGTGTCGGCGGTGCCCAGCTCACCGGACCCCCCCCCCTCCGGCGAGCGTGGTAGCCAGAGAGGCTCTCTCAACCCTGCTCTGCGGGGTCCACAGTAGGGCGCGGGTGTCCGGCGGCGGCGGCGAGCCCGTGGGCAGTGGGGGTTGGTCCCGCGGCTCCGGCCCCCGGTGCAGAATGGCGGCGGCGGTTCGGATGAACATCCAGATGCTGCTGGAGGCGGCTGACTACCTGGAGCGGCGGGAGAGAGGTGCACGGGGACGGGAGGGGTCCGTCCCGAGCCGGGGCCGGGGGCTCTGAGGGGCCCGGCCGCGGGGTAGGGGTGTCCAGCCGCTCTGGGGGTGGTTAGAGGCGCAGAGAGCGCGACCGCGAGCGCTCCCAACCCCTCCAGCTCTCCCCACGCGCGGTCCGAAGGGAGGCCGCCACTGCCCCAAAGGCAATGAATGAGGATGGAAAAGGGGCCGCTGCCCCCCGGAGTCCGGAGCGCCGCCCCCCGCCGCAAAGCAAATGGGATGCCCGGGGTCCCCTCAGCCAGGCCCTTGGTTTACCTCACCGGGGCTCGTCCGGACCGGGCCCCAAGTGGGCCCGGCGCCCCGTCTCCCAGCTGGAGGAGCAGCGATTCCCCTGCACCCCCCCTTCCCCGCCTTCTGGGTTCCGGGTGTTTGCCCCGCACCGCACCTCAGCCCGAGGCTGGTCCCACTTAAAGCACGCCAACCTGCTGGACGTTGCCAATGGGGAACCCAAGCCCCATTAGCTTAGCGACTTGCTGTGTCTTTCTCAACAATGAGCAGCTGGAATGCTCCTTACACCTGCTCCGAACTGAGGGTATTCACACAATTAAAAAAACAATTATTGTTCTAAGAATTCCACCTTGCGTAGTTTGTTTCTTCACACAATATTCTTTTAATGAAAAATAAAATTTAAAAAGGAAGTACTGTGGAGGGGAGAGAGTATTGAATGTTCTAGGCTCATTCATTAACTGGATCCTTCGGTTTTCTAGAAGCTGAACATGGTTATGCCTCCATGTTACCATACAATAACAAGGACAGAGATGCCTTAAAACGGAGGAACAAATCCAAGAAGAATAACAGCAGTAGCAGGTAATTTGGTAAATATTTCTCTTTTTCTTTTAGATTATACTGCAGATGATACGAACTGCAGAATGGAAGTTGTCTGTTGTGCTTATAACCCAGTAAATACATTAAGTAGCAATCATGATTCAGTAAGGCACACATGGTCTTAAGCCATTGAGGAAGGCAGCCCTTCTGTTTGGGTTGAGGGGACAGAAAAGAGAAATGGAAATGTTTTATATTTCTTTATGAACTTTTTAACTTAATTTTGCTTTTCCTCCCTTTTGGAACAAAAATCTCTGGAAACTTCCAGTGAAATTAGCAACAATGACTATATGTTGCCCTCAGAAGTTGCAGATTCAGGGCAGGTTTTTTATAATTGAAAATGCTGGACATTATCCATTTCTTTTACTTTTCATAGTGAAGATTTTATAAACATGTTAAAGTATCTGATTTAGCATAGGTGGTAGGATTTCATATTTGACATGTAAATGAAATGTAGTAGTTTGTCTCATCTGTTACATCTGTTTATAATGGCAAAGAGGAATGATAGAGGTTAAAACCTGCCTTTTTGGTGATAGAGGATTAAGATTAAAATATTAATATGCAACAGTCCTTTTTGTTAGCCTTATAGTTCTTAAAATCTGTGAATTTCACTGGGAAGTATGTGGTTAATGGTCAGTGAAATCACATTAAAACCCTGACTATAGTTCCTGGTACCTATGAGTACTCTGTTAATGCTACTGCTCCCTTTTTCCCTTCTTTGCCCTTTAAATATAAGTTAGGTAGGAAATCTGTTAGGTCTATTTACTTACACCTTTCATTCCAGTAAAGTCATTCACATTTTCATCACTGACTTAGAATCCTTATTCCTCCCTGCTTGTTCTTGCTGCTGCTTCTATCCTTGATTCATCCCATTGTACTTAGTGTTGGTAGAACCACAGGATGTGAGCAGCACACATGTGCTGAGCTCTTGAATAAGAAGGCACGTGAGGGATGAACCTAGTAATTAACTACCCTGCGGTTTTTCCTTTCCCTCCCATCTTTCACATTACCTGTGAAAGCTACCTGGTAGCTAATAGATCTGTGTGTGGGTATTAAGGGCCTACAAGAAGAATGTAAATACTTGTATTATGCAGTGGTGTAAAATGATTTAGCTGTGTTGCATTTTGTTATAGTATTTTTAAGATTTTGTTTGGAAGAACTTTGAAGGCTTTTGGTTTATTTTTCCTGAAAAAGGTAGTCCATTTGTTGCTTGTGCTCTTGTCCATTCATGATTTGGGAGGAATTGCCCACCTTACTAGTCAAGGCGTAATCCTCAGCACTTTATTTTTCCCTAAGTTTCACAGGAAAGTTGGAGGAGAGGAGGTTCAGTGGTGGAGAGAGAAGAGAAAGGGATGTTGAAAGAGAAGTAGGCTGGTCCCCAAAGGGGATTAGGAAAGAAAAATAATGATAGTTGAGAACTTCAGGTCAAGAAACAGATTCTTTCTCTTTAATATCCAGTGTTATTATGGAAAAAATAGCTGTAACTTCTCAGTTTTGGAAAAGCTTTCTTCTGTTAATGGGCTTGGTTTGTTTTCCATGGTTTCATACCGGAGGCTAGTTTCTCATATTCTTGGCTAATGAATTAGTGTAATATCCTCAGTGGTGCAAGGATCTCTGAGAGACCATGATTAAACCTGGAGATGGCACGAAGCAAACATGAAGCAAGAGCAGGTTGTTTTTGTTTAAATGTGATCACTTCCTTCATGCCCTGTTTGGAATGACCTTTACCTGAGCAGTGAGACATCACCCCAGAGAATGCAGTTTGACCCCTTGATTTGAATTAGACTTCTCTCCAAGGCCATGTATGGTCAGGATCTTGAACTGAGTTAAGGGCGATGGAGAGATCACTGCTGGTTTACATAACCACCAGATAATAGTTTATTCTTGTTAATTCAGGTTGAAATGCTATGCTCTTTGCTTGTAGGGTCAGGGGGCTACTTTTCCTTGGACAATAGAAAAAAAAAGATTTAGCCACATATCCAACTTCTTGGGAACTAAAAATGCAGATCTTCATCCAGTTTCTCTAGTTGCATGTTTAAAAAACAAAAACAAATGAAATTGTGAATATTGATTGTTTCAGAATCATCCAGAGAACTACTGGAATACAGGGGAGGTGGAATCTTTTTTTTTTTTCTTTCCTACTGGTTTTTGAAATCAGTTACTAATTATTTAGAACTGAAATCCAGAGTTTTTTAAAGGTATATTTTGTAAAATTGTAAAGCAGGCTTTGGCACTCGTGAAAGAGGAAATTCAGGACCTGCCACCTAGCTCTTTTATGCAACAGTGGCTATATAGCTGAGCTGACATGGAGAATCTGTTTGAACCCAAGAACTTTTCCCATTCTCATACACTGTAGTTTGGCTTAGTTATCTTTTTGTAAGTAGGCTCCACCTCCAGCGTGGAGCTCAATGTGGGGCTTGAACTCATGACCCTGAGATCAAGACCTGAACTGAGATTGAGTCAGACGCTTAACTGACTGAGCCGCCCGGGTGCCCCTTGTTAGAATATATTTTTCAATGGTGACATTTGACCTTTACCAGTGATTCCAGAGTTATCAAATCTTTTCGGTAACCACATGGAAAATAATTTTGACGCAAGATACTATGTATTCTTATAATAATTAAAAATATAAATGTTTACCCATTAACAGAGTTGGCAAGCAATCTCTGATCGTTTTTGAAAGGCTTGTTTTCATTAAAGACAAACTCAGTTTCAGTCACCCAAATGCACTTCAGTAATGCTTTAGCCATTAGATGTAAGTCCCCTTGTAAAAATCCCAATGTGTTAATACTCTTAAGTAATCAGATAAGATCTGTAGTTACCGAAATTGTTCAAAGTCTGGAAGGAGTTGTCCTACAGAATTTGTTAAAAAGTTTATCTTGGGGATTCAGAATTTTTCTTATATGTATCTTCAAAGAATCCAGAAATTTTTGGTAAGAGTGCCCTGTGTGCTATTTTCTGTAATCAGATTGTATTCTTTTCAAATATCCACACTTCTCTCTTCCACCACCTTCCTGGAATGGTCCTTGCCTACAGTTAAATGGGGGAAATCCTGACCAGCTGCTATCATATACTTTCATCCATTTAAAAAATCTGTCAGACTTTGAACTTGTTATTTCCTGTTAAAACTAAAATGCCACGTGCTTTAAAGCCAAAGGTTTGTAGTGCAGGCCTGACTCTTGTTAACTGTGATATCCTGCCGGCCATTGCAGGAAGTAAACCTTCAGAAAAATGTAACTGAAGAAAGTTGAGGGAAAACCAAGTGAATCAATGTAAAGCTTTTAAGGTAACCAATTTTGAGATCCTTTACCTAGAAAACAAATATTCTAAAACTTAAAATACTGTCATTTTCTTGGTTTTCCTCGTTAATAAAAATCGGTGTCCCAAGAGCCTTGTGGAAGAGAAGTTTTATTGCTGGATTGGAAATTTCTCATTCCAAGTCTACAAACCCTCCACCACCCTTCTCTGGTGTGAATGAAATTGGTGGTGGTTGCCCCCTGATATAAATGAGTGGCGGAGCATTCACAGAGGTCCTGTTTCTCCATGATTACTGTGAGAATTCCTCTGTAGGCCCAGGAAGGTTCTGGCCTCAGCCAGGGTGTTCTCTCCTGAACTGGTTAGATTCCAGGGAATTTCCATTAAGAAAGGTCAAGATTGAGCTCCTTTATAATGCTGGGATGTTCCTCAAGTTTATAATTAGTTGTGTGAGGAGGACACTGTAGTGGCCATATTGACTGACTTCCTGTGACTTCTGTGGAAACCTAACCATAAATTCTTAGACCAGACCTTATATTCAAGGTCAGCTATAAACACTTTAATAATAGGATTTCACATCCACCACAGCTTTTGTCCCAGGCTCTCTAATCACTTTTACAGTTGCTACCTCATTGATCTATGTGTGTTCAGTAGATATTTGACAATAATTTTTACTCCCATTTTACAGAGGGGTTAACCAAGGACAAGATGGTAAAAAATTTTATTTCTTCTACAGTACCAGTTGGTGGCAAAGCTAGACTTCACATTTCACCCTCACTGTGGCTTTCACCAGTCTGTATCGTCTTTATGTTGAGCTAAGTTTTAGAAGCCCCTTCCTGAAATCATTTGGGAGCTGTTCACCAGTAGCGTTTTGCAGGAGGTTGTACATGATCAAATAATTACGTCAGGGAGTAGAAAGATTGAGGGAAAAGGGATAATTTTTATCCACTTAAAATTGTATCCTGTTGTTAAGCAACTTAGCATAAAATTTTGGCGTATCTACTACACCTAGAAAAAACTGCAGGCCTAGGAGGAGGTGCCACCTCCACTCTTCTCCCCTCAGCCTGAAGAAACCTTTGGTGTTCTATAACCCGAATTCACATCACATGGCGCAGCTGTTTTTCTCATTGTATAAATAGACCCCTTTTATTTCCTTTCTTAAAATGGATTACATTTGCACTAGGGATTGCATGCCTCTTAAGTTTGTCACTTCTCCTTGGACTCTATTTTACATATTTACATTTACCTAACTCCTCAAAGGAACTGATTTCTTTAGCAGAGCCCACTGTTTTTCTTCCCTGTTCCCTCTCCTACCAACTTTGGAGAGAAAGAATTTAAAATAATTGTATTGGTGCTGAAGTAGTTCTTTAAGACAAGAAGAATCTTACTCTTTTCTTATTGTTCCCTCTTTCAGGTCAACTCACAATGAAATGGAGAAGAATAGGTGAGTTGGGGATTTTGGGGGTGGGATGGGGGTCGTTTTGATGTAGTCCCTGATCTTAGAGACTTGGATGCTTTTCGTGGGCTCTTCCCACAAGTAACATCTGATGTAAGAGTTTCCTCAGGCCCACTAAGCAGCGCTGCCCCTAAATCACTTAGGTAGATGAAGGGCTTGCAGGTTCCGGAGACCACACTCCCAACCCTCACTCCTGCAACCCACTCCTCCTAAGGAGGGCCTTCCTGGGTGACTGTTTCACAGGCCAAAGCAGTTTAGGTCATGAGCAGTGTTTCCACAAATAGTGTTTTTTAAAAAAATTACATGCTACTAAATATAATTGGTAGTTCTGTCTTAAATCATGTACACACCCAGATATATATAAATACACATACATATGTGTGTGTATTTACAGTTTACTTGTGAATAAAGATTCTCAAAAATCAGGCAAATATATGCATAGCACAAATTGGAGATGGTGATTCACTAGAGGAGGCCTGCCACCCTCCCTGGGATCCATCTGGCTTCCTGAGTTGATCTCTCTCACCTGGATTGCCTCTTGCTGTTTGTTAAAATCTTTATTTTCTAAATCCAGTTTGTCCCTCCTTCAACAATGTAGCCTAGTGGTTCTTGACTCTGGTTGTACGTTAGAGTCACTTGCAAAGCTTTTATTTTAATGTTTTTTTTAAATTTTTGTATTAAGTTACACACATGTATACATTTGAGGAGAAGGAACAGATTTTATTTCTGCCAATTTTATAAAATAACATACAAATCTTCAAATATATGAGAACGAATAATGTAATCGAGTCCTATGTGTCCATTACCCAGCTTCAACAATCATCATTTTGTTAATCTTGTTTAATCAAAACTACCCCTCTGCATGGAGTATTTGAAAGCAAATCTTTTATCTCTAAAAACAACCACTTTTACCATGGTGGGTGGGGGGTGGAAATAGTAATTCCTTGTGGAGCTTTAAAATAAAAAAAAGAAACCAATGCCCAGACCTCACCCCTAGCAATTCTGATTTAATTGGTTTGGGTTGAGACTCTGCTCTAGTATTTTTTTTTAAAAGCTCCCCAGGTGATTCTCATGTGCTGCCAGGGCTGAGAACCATTGAACAAGCTTCATTCTGGTCTCTGAGCTCCCATCAATTTGAAATACAGGCTACCCATTCAGATTGAGTGGCTTTCTCAGTGCTCTGCATGAACAAGATGATGTGTAATGATGGTTCTGTAAATACATATGGTTATTTCATGCAAACCTTCTTTGAAGAGGGAGCCTGACTCTGAAAGTGAGGATCTGAATGACACTTTTCGTCCGTGAAAGGGCAGACTGACTTAATAGGAAGGAGAATGTTGGAACGGGGTGAACATTTAGCATGACTCCGCTGAGGAATTCTGTGTGTGCATGCATGTGCCTCACTGCACACGTGCTTCTCCCCATCCCTCTTCTTCCCTTTTAATTTCTCCGATTGTGACTGTGTTTGAAGTCAAAGCTTCCTTTTTGCTTTAGGGATTTACAGATCATGAATTGGGAACTCGAAAGTATCTTTTAAGGTGGAAGGGTAATCAGATGTGGCCTCTCTTTCTCATCTTTAGATTCTCAACTTTCTGCCTTTGGGGTGAACTGGGTAAACTGGGACTCTTTCTGCTGAAAAGTTTTCTAGTTTTTCTCCCCCACCTTACGTAGGCATTTATTTTTTTATTATCCATTAGACACTCATTTTTGTTATTAAAATTTTACACCTTCAGGTAAGGGCTTTTTTTTTTTTAAAGATTTATTTGAGAGAGAGTGAGTACATGAGAGGGGGGAGGGTTAGAGGGAGAAGCAGCCTCCTTGCTGAGCAGGGAGCCCGATGTGGGACTCGATCCCAGGACTCCAGGATCATGACCTGAGCCGAAGGCAGTCGCTTAACCGACTGAGCCACCCAGGCCCCCCAGCTAAGGGCTCTTGCACTTACTACAACTTTATGTCTCTTACCTCTGCAAGAATGCCACACAATGTCAGTTTTACCTTTTAGCAGTTCAGGGGTATTTATTTTTTCCCTACAGTGTCTCAAGAACTTGTACTCAGTACTAGGTATTAAAAGAGTTTGCACTGGGGGTATTAAATCAGCATGGTCCCCATCCTAGAGAAATGTTGTTTGTCTAATGGGAAAGATGCAGAGACAGTCTGAATGAATACACTATGGCTCAGATTGAGGTATACATGAGAGGCTATGGAGGCAAAGAATCTAGAAAACTGGATTTGGAGTCCCCACTGGGCAAGCTGCTTTTAATTCAGACTGCTTCCGTGTGACCAGTCAACTTTTGCTCGCTGAAGAGTTATCTAGTTTCCTTATTGCCCTTTCTTTTTTGGAATTCAGTCTTTTAAGGTCTTGATAATTCTTTCTCTAGTCCAGAGCATGTGAACAGAAAAGAAGGAAGTAAAAACTCAAATTTCTTAATTTAACCAAAATTGGTTGCTGCAGTCCAGGGGAGGAACTTAAAGTTGCCCAGCTCTTCTCCCCTTATGAGTGTAGATGCTTAAGAATCTTCAGGTTTTGAAGTCAGTTGAACAGCTGCTCTTGTAGTCTCCCTGGTTTTAGTAGTTGGTGCCTATAAAACAATCCCGCTTTGCTAAGTGCATATACACTTTAGCCATTTTTTACCTTAAAACATCACATAAAAAGATTGACACGGCTCTCAAAAAAACAAAAAACTTAGAAAAAGAACTAACGATGGGAATTTGTTTTCCTCTTTGAGATTGCAGAGTTGATTATACTTGGGTTAGATTTTTAAACAAATCTTTTCTGTGGCACTTTAGAGATTCTGAGTAATTGGTGTTTGTTAGGACTCCACAAAGAGGACAATATACTCAACACTACCACTTTAATATTCTTGGTGTTGGTAGGAAAATACCCCACCTCCAGCATTCTAGAAGGCTTGTATTTTCCATTCTCTAGATTAGGCATTCATGGAGCACTGAAGATGCTGTGTCCTAGGTGCTGGGAATACAGAGCCTGATGAAGCCCAAGCCCCTGGGGTGAAGGGTTCAGTTCATCAGCATAGATAGGAGCATCTGTCACTCGGTCTTTGCTTCTCTGAACTGTAACTGGTCGTTGTGGGTCTAGCTTCCTAAGGAAACACTTTAAGTGAGTGTGCTGTTTTTTTTTCTTTTTTTTTTTTTAAGATTTTATTTATTTGAGAGAGAGAATGAGAGACAGAGAGCACGAGAGGGAAGAGGGTCAGAGGGAGAAGCAGACTCCCCGTCGAGCAGGGAGCCCGATGTGGGACTCGATCCAGGGACTCCAGGATCATGACCTGAGCCGAAGGCAGTCGCTTAACAACTGAGCCACCCAGGCACCCTGTGCTATTTTTCTTTTTAAAACTAATTTTACAGGGATGCCTGGGTGGCTCAGTCAGCTAAGCGTCTGCTTTCGGCTCAGGTCATGATCCCAGGGTTCTGGAATCAAGTCCTGCCTCAGGCTCTCCTCTCAGGGGCAAGTCTGCTTCTCCCTCTCCCTCTGTGATCTCTCTCGTTTTTGCTCTCTGTCAAATAAATAAAATCTTTAAAACAAACCAACTAATCTTACAGAAAATCTTGAGAAATATAGAAAGTCTTTCTAAAACCAATTTAAATCATCCATAATTCTAGCTGCCAGAGGACAGCAGTGGAACTTTGAAGTGTATCTCCACAGTTGTTTTTGGAAAATAACTTAAAAGTATAGTTTAGTTTAGAAAATTGGGAAGTTCCAAAAAGCACAAAAAATATATAAATCACCCGTAATAGATCTTGCAGCAGTAACAGCTCTAACATTCCTGCTAGGTTCTGTATCCATCTAGACTTTTGTGCATACTTTTTTTAAGTCAACATGGGATCATATAGTAAATAATTTCTATCTTCAGGGCGCCTAGGTGGCTCAGTCGGTTAAGCATCTGCCTTCGGCTCAGGTCCTGATCCCAGGACCCTGGGATTTAGTCCCACATTGGGCTCCCTGCTCGGCAGGGAGCCTGCTTCTCCCTCTCCCGCTTCCCCTGCTTGTGTTCTCTCCCTCACTGTCTCTCTCTGTCAAATAAAATCTTTAAAAATAATAATAATTTCTATCTTCTTTTCAAGCTACATTATGAATATTTTCCCATGTCCTTAAGTCTACTTTTCTAACATTACTTTTAGTGAATACACTGTATTACCTCATATGGATGTGCCGTAACTCATATAACCAATCCCCTGTTTTAGGTTCTTCCCAGTATTTGGCTAATACAAACAATACTTCCTTAAACTACCTTGTAGATAAATCTCTGTCCAACACCATAATTATATCCTTAGGGTAAATTTATAGCTGTGGAAATAATGATATACACATTGTTGTGGTTTTCGATGTTGACTGCTGGATTGCCCACCTGGCAGGTAACAGGCCTTATACCTTCACAAGGTGTTAGTATAATCTAAGACCTTTATGAATTTGATACATAAAAAACAAAAGCCGACAACTTGTTTTAATTTGCATTTCTTACATTACTAGCACAGTCAAATAATTTTCTTTGTATTGCCTATTAATAACCTCTGCCAATTTTAGGCGTTTGCTTTTTTCCTTATTTTGAGAAGACTATATAATATGAAGGATATATATGAAAGAGATCACCCCTTTGAGTATCATGTTATTGTCCAGTTTATCATTTCCTTTAACAGAATCCATTTTCTCTCACTGTTTGAACTTGCTGCTTCTATTATATATTAAATTCTTGTTCATGGCTAAGTCTGTTTCTAGACTGGTTCTTCTCTTCCACTGCGCATCTGCTCTGCTTTTCCTGTGCTAGTGAATATTGTTTCGGTCATTGAGGTTTTATCATGCACTTCAAGATCTGGTAAAGCAAATCCCTACTCCTCCCTTCTCCTTTTTTTTTTTACCATGTTGTTAGCTATTTTCACCAGTTTATTTTTCCCTGTGAATTGTATAGTCAATCCATTTCCCCAACCTCCAAATCCTTTTGGGATTTTCAAAATCAAAATTTAATAATTTCAATATAAATTAACCTTTAAAAGTTCACGTTCACGTATTAGCTCTTTCCATCCAGGATTTGGTATGTGACTTCATTTATTCAGATCAATTTTCTGTCTCTAAAGTTTTATAGTATTTCCCCATGCATCTTGCATATTTCTTTTAAAAGATATTCCTACATTTAAAAATTTTTAAATCACTGTTATATTCCCATTGTAATTACTAATTTTTGTTGGAATAGAGGAAGTTTTTGAATCTTGTTGTTACAGGGCTTTGTTGATGATAATTCTACTGTTTTCCTTCTCTTAGCTGGGGATTCCTCTGGTCTGAATGCCTTTCAGTAGCACTTCAGCAAATGGAGACTGACTGAATGCATATAAGCTGCATCCAGTGGGTCAGGAGTCAGGTGCTAGAATGGGCTTTTTTTCAAAAGAAGGCTCTGGCATCTTCTTTAATAATAGACATTCGTTTTTCTGGAATGGTACATATGCAGGCCTTGCTGGAATTAGGCAGCTGGTCTAGAGAGATTACCTCTGCTAGAGTCTTCTGACCCCATGACAAAAGATTTTTGTGTGTGCTCTGTGGGGAGGACTCAGCAGCCTGATCTAAGCTATTATTTTCATTTGGTTTAACAGTATTTCAGTGGCATCTGGTCTGGTATGAGAAACCACTGCAGTCAGGTCTCTTCTGGCAGGATATGCTAATTTATTGCAGGTCCCTATCATTATATTGGCTTTTCAAATGGCCAAGCTCCTTCTATTGGAAGAGGGTAGGGGCATAACTTTTGCACTGGGCCCAAGTTGTGGTAGGCATTGCACCACTCTTACTGTTTCTGAACTTTCTTGACCACATTCAGATTTCACTCCAGGGTGTTGTAACAAATCCGCATTGCTTTGTTGCCACATGGGGCTAAGGGCATGGCCTCGTTATTACAAAGAAGGGATGTAGTTATCAGTGTGCAAATCTGGCCTACATTAATGGTGTGGAAGAACACCCAGATTTGTACCACTAGAATCTATGGTTCTTGGACTATACCTCTTGGATAGATGGCATCTGCCCTTGGAAAAACTTGGAGAAAAGACATATGCTGCTTATTCAACTCATTTCCCGTCCCTGCTGGAGCAGTGGGGGCACTGCCTGACTTTTTGTCATAGACATTAATAGTCAAAGGGCGAGAAAGCTAGCAAGTACCAACCATAAGATGTATTGTGTACATTTTTAAAATTGGGCTCTAGAAAGGAAATATTAATGAAAATACTATGTATTTCATACTTTAGTAGAGAAGTGATCTTATAACTTCGGAATGTAGCCACCGTGAATTGCTATTTATGCCTTGTTCACTGAGTGACCTGTTCCCATACAGCTGGCATATAGAACTACCTCTATTTTTTTTTGTAAAGATTCCTATCACAATTATCAAAAACCTTCAAAACCTTCCAAGGTTCCAGTTAAGTTGGTAGTAATGATGCATCTGGCAATTATTTATAAAGGGATCATTTTAGGGAAAGGAGAGTATATTTTTCCTCAAAGTATGACTTGTAGTCTTCACCTGGACCTTTTGTTTAACATGGTAATGCTCTGTTGTCAACCCCTAATCTGGAGAAAGTATCTCTTGTGACCTGTAATCACTTTTAGGGAGTAAATTTTGACCCCATGAAATGATTTGTTTCTTCTTACTCTATACTAAACCTGTTTTTCTCACTATACAGCTCATACAAAACATATCTGAAATTTTTATTAAACCTCCAATTATCCTATAGAATTTCTGAAGCTATTTAATTGGCTAAATCTGTGCCCACACAAAGCTAGGAAATACGACGGTGAAACTTTAGAGTTAAATAGGCTATTGTTTATTGTTTGGTTTTTTTCTTCTTTGGTGAAGAATCTGAAGCCCAGTTTTAATGAAAAGTAGTACTCAGGTCCCATGTATCATGTTTGTTAGGTAGGGCTTTTCTCAAAGAGAAGGGACATGGATTGCCTAGGATACCAGATTCTACTCTCAGGTCAGCATCTGCAGATGTATTATTGTTTCTAGGCTCCAGTGGGTTAACACAAAATAAAAGTTTTGGTCTTTCCCATTACTTGGTAATGAAAGAACAGTTGGATATATAGGAAGTGTGCTGTGTGTGAATGAATGAAGAAATGAATGTGATTTATTTGGAAAGGGAAAAAACAGGTTCTGATGGCCTATGGAAGCTTGACAACCTTTTAAATCAAACAAGATATGGGTGAGGGAGAAGAAAGAATAGGTTTGGTAGAGGGGAAAGGGGAGCCTGTTCTAGAACTTTTAGTGAGGGTTGCTATTTGCCATAATCTGAAGGTAGCTCAGATCAGTAATTCTGCAATAATTTGTTTATGTTTGATCTCCGGCTAAATTTTAAGAAGCTCCAAGGCAGGGACTTGATCTAACTCAACAATGTATCCTAGCACCTATGAAAGTAGCAGTGCAGAGTAATCTCTCAGAAATGCAGGTGGAGTAAATGAATGAAAGAGCCAAGTGTATGTTTCTAGATTTCCACCTGTGAACTTAATTCCTTATTTACCCCCTTCACTGGCCGCCGTCCTGTATGCTCTGCTCTGACCTTCTAACTCTTCTTTGGGTCCTGTCCTACACTCTACTGTGGGAGCGTTCACTTACACCTTCAGTTAAAAAAAGTAATCTGACAACAGTGCCTCCCTCCTAACAGACATGCACATGCGCCTGGTTGGATACCATTCCCACTCGTTGGCCACGTTCAAGTCAGGAAGAACTTTTGGAGGTAACCTAGCAAATTCAGGGGCACTAGCTGCAGATGGCACAGTCTACCTATGGTCTTAACTCTTTTCCCAGTTTATTCTCCAATTGACAAATCTGCTGGCCTGAGAGGGAGAGAGACATGGATAGACTCGAGGGAGCTTAAGTTTGGAGGCAGAAATAAGAAGAGCAGCATTCAGAACTGTCTTAAGAGCGCGCTGGCTAGCCCAGGTGCCTTCTGTCAGTGCCATAGCTCTGTAGGAAGTAGTGCCTCAAGCAGCCTAGACCCTCTTCATTAATGACTTCCGTTCGCTTGGATATTTAGTTTCCCGTAATTCATGGCTGACAAGACTTAAGGAAAACTAACAGAACAGTGTGGTATCAAAACATATATTTGAATCTTTAATATATTTGGAATTTATTTTGATGTTAGTCTTCCCACTCCTCTATAATCCATGCTTTTCCTAAGGATTTGTAGTGTTACCTCTGTTATATGTTAAATTCATACCTATTCTTCAGTCTGTTTCTGGGAATTTTTTATTCTGTTCCCTTGATTTGTCTATCCATTCCTGTATTAGGGTATACTGTTTTTTAATTATTAAAGCTTTATAATACAGTTTAATATCTGGTATAGCACATTCCTCCTCATTCTCAAAAATCCGGCAATCCCTTATACATGTATTCTTCTAGATGGAATTTAGACTAATTTCCCAACATTAAGAAGAACACTTGGTGTTTTTTTCCCTCTGGAATTATGTTAAATTTGTAGACAAACTTGGGTAACATTGGCATCTTTGCTTTTAGATTTCATATCTAGGAAGGTGCTACTTTTTTCCATTTACTCAGATTTTCTTGTCTCCCAGCAAAGTTTTAGTTTCCTTCCTAGAGATCCTTCCTAAGCTGTTTTCAGTTTATTCCTAAATATGCTCTCCTTTCTTCTTGCTGTTGTATGAGAGAGATTTTCGGTGCTCCACGGGAAGCCTGCTTCTCCCTCTCCCACTCCCCCTGCTTGTGTTCCCTCTCTCGCTGTCAAATAAATAAAATCTTTAAAAAAAGAAAAAATAAAATCCATCCAGAGATGTGCGTGGACTTCCAAGGTCAGTATTTGCCCCCCTGTTTTCCTTGGGCTGTGGCAGGGCAGCTGGAGCAGGGAGGATTGGGTGCTCTTCAACCTTGGGCTCCCTTCTACCCAAGACTCTACATGATGTGTGGCCAAGAAGGAGTCTTTTCTTATGCATGCATTAGCTTTATAAGATCCTTGCTAATTTTTTGAATTTTTTAAATTCCAGTACAATTAACATAGTGTAATATTAGTTTCAAGTGTATAATATACTGATACAGCACTTCCACACATTGCCCAGTGTTCGTCCCAAGTGCCCTCCTTAATCCCCGTCACCTACTTCCCCCCCTCCCTACCCACCTCCCCTCTGATAACCATAGGTTTGTTCTCTGTAGTTAAGAGACTGGTTCTTGGTTTGCCTTTTTTTTTTTTCCCTTTGCTCATTTGTTTGGTTTAAATTCCACATGTGAATGAAATCATACAGTATTTGTCTTTCTCTGACTTATTTCACTTAGCGTTATACTTTCTAGTTCCATCCATGTCGTTGCATGCAAATGGCAAGATTTCATTCTTATGCCTGAATAATACTATGTTGTGTATATATTTATACCACATCTTCTTTATCCATTCATCTATCCGTGGACACTTGAGCCGCTTCCATACTTTGGCTGTTGTAGATAATGCTGCTTATAAACACAGGGATGCATGTATCCTTTTGAATTAGTGTTTAGTTGTTTTGCTCTAGTAGTGCGATTACTGGATCGTAGGGTAATTCTATTTTTAACTTTTTGAGGAACCTCCATACTGTTTTCCACAATGGCTACACCAGTTTGTATTCCCACCAACAGTGTAAGAGTGCTTCTTTTTCTCCACATCCTTGCCCCCACTTGTGTTTTTTATTTTAGCCATTCTGACAGGTGTGAGGTGATATCTCATTGTCGTTTTGATTTGCATTTCCCTGATGATGAGTGATGTTAAGCATCTTTTCACGTGTCTGTTGGCCATCTGTAGGTTTTCCCTGGAGAAATGTCCATGTCTTCTGTCCATTTTTAAATGGATTATATTTTTTCTGTGTTGTTGTATCAGTTCTTTATATAGTTTGGGTACTAGCCCTTTGTTGTATATGGCGTTTGCAAATATCCTCTTGCATTCAGTAGGTTGCCTTTTAGATTTGTTGATGGTCTCCTTCGCTGTCCTTGGTTTTCTTTAAATGTAAAAATAGTATCTTTAGCATAAGCAAGATCTGTATTGCCATAGAAAATAGGTTACATTTTCCATTAAATTTAATGACAGAAGATAAGTGTTTTCTTTAAGGAAGAATTGGATTTTACCAGATAGCCTCTATCTACCTAGTGAGACACTTTCGAGTTTCCTATTGATTTTATTTTTTCTTTTTTTTAAGATTTTATTTATTTGACAGCGAGAGAGGGAACACAAGCAGGGGGAGTGGGAGAGGGAGAAGCAGGCTTCCCGTGGAGCAGATGTGGGGCTCATCCCAGGACCCTGGGATCATGACCTGAGCCAAAGGCAGATGCTTAATGACTGAGCCACTCGGGCGCCCCGAGTTTCCTATTGATTTTCAAAGGAATATTATAGTGCTATACAAATTGTTCCCAGTAATTATCGGTCACAGAAGAAACTAGAATTGAAGGAACAACAGCTGCTGTGTAAGAGCGCACTCCTGTCAGATCCTGGCCAGGGGCTTCCATTCCTTGTCCCAGTTAATACACCGGCCCTGTCGGGCGTGGTGTTCCTGTCTGCTGCTGAGAAAGCTGATGCCACGTAGAGTTAAGTGATGGGCTCAAGGTCACACAGGAAGTAAGTGGCAAAGCCAGGGTCCCAAACCTTTGCTCTTAGATACCATGCTAACATTTGGTTGTATGGTGACAGATTCAAACTATTAAAAGAACTAAAAACAAAAGTAAAATTTGAGATCCTTTTCAAAACCTTACTGAAGAAAAACTATAGTTCGTATCTAATTTAGTTATCCCTAGTTATAGGGCACACTTGGATCTGAGCATTACTGATTATAGCTCAGATCAAAGATTGGTCTCTTTATGCTACTATAGACCAAAGGTGTATCTGTCCATTCAGAATAATTAAAGCAATATTTCTGAAGAGTCAGCACAAAGTTTGTCAAAGTTCATGACCTAGGTACAAAGAAGTTGGATCAGTGCAAACAGAAGAGGCAGTTGGGAGCAGGAAGGAGCCAGGACTTGGCACAAGCCCCTTCTGCTGGGGGTGGGGAGCAGGGAGGCAGCTCTTGGCAACAGGATGACTGGCTGAAGAGGATGGGCTGGGAGGAGGTCTAAGTAGGGATCAGACTGGGCTGTTGAGTGGCTTCCTGTTAAGTACTTGTGGCAAAACCTCTGCTGGTTCCCCAAGGGGGAGTTAGACCTAGTTCAGAACGGGACACTGATCCCCTCCTTGAGGACCCAGAGCCCTGGGCAGGGGAATAGTCAGGACTGGGGAGGAGGAAGAGCTGAGATGGGTGCTTGTGTTACTTGCTCTGGATCTCGTGCTTCATCAGTGCTCTCAAGGCTGGCTAAGGGGTTGCAGATCCCAGGGTGCAGTGTGCCTGTGTGTGTGTGTGTGTGTGTCAGGGTTGAGGAGCCTCAGGGGGAGCTTTTACAGAGGAGTCTGTTTGCTTGTTTATCTGGTTCAGGAGTCGAATTTCACTATTATATGATAGAACTGAGCCTGCTCCATAGACCTCACCCCTCCCCTGTGACTGGCCCAGGTGCCAGCCTGGGGATGTCTGCAGGTGGGCAGGGCAGGGCAGCCACTGGGCTGAGCAGTGAGGTGCTAGAGGAGGCCAAGACAGGCACTACCAAAGACAGAAGTTGGCTTTGGATCTCGACAAAAATCCAGAAAAGCTCTGGTCGTACTTTCATAGAACCAGGCCAAAAAAACACTGAATAAACATGTATTATCCTTAGCTTGAGTTAGTCAAATGGCTTATTTCTGGTTTCACAACTGGAAGTGTTTTTTGGAAGAACCCACATTTGGGTAGTGAGAATTATACTTTCTGGGCTAGACTCCCTGTACAACTAGAAATGACGATGCATGGAAAGATGACTTTATTATATTTTTAACAGTAGACAAACTTCCTAAAAAATTACGTACTCATATTTGTAGATAAACCCACATCATAAAATGACTAATAGGACACTGTTCTGAATCATGCAGTCTTTGCAGATAACAAGCTGAAAAATGCCTACATCTAATTTTTGAACTTTTTTCCCTAACTTGACAATTTGTCTATAAACTTTGGGAGAAATAATTTGGATAACTGTATAAGCGACTATACTTTCTCATGGTGTTTCCAATATCTATTTTCATGACTCTTCTTGAATATTATTACCCAAGGTAAACAGGTACATTTTACACACAGCTTTCCTCCTGTAGTGGTAGGAGGAGCAAACCTCTAATGGGAGCCTTTACTTGTGACCATTCCACATGGACAGGGTTTCAGGGCAAGTGGAAGTCTCGTCAAAGAGTAAGGCATTTTTGTACCATTAAATTTTCCTAGCTCAAGAGCAAATGCTGTATTCTTCAAGTTTGTCAAGGCTTGGAGGGCCCTCAGAGAGTCTAGGACAGCTCCTTCGAGAGCTAGACAAGGAAGGAGGCTTGGAAGCAGATGAGGCAGGGGGCTCAGAAGGATATCTAATGCACCACTTGTTAGATCTGCCTTGGAGGAACATCCTGAAGTCTTGATATGAAAGGTGTGAATGGACTTCCTTGGTCATTATCACACATATGGACCTCTTAGAGCTTTCTGAAGCAGTTGCGTCTTTTAGTCCCAACTTTTGCTAATACAGTCATAAATTTTAAGGGGAGGGGAAGGCAAATTAAGCTTTAAGGTTGTCTCCTGGCTCCCGGGAACTCTGCTCCAGGTGGTTGTGTGTGGGCTGTGGGCATGTGTCTAAAACCCCAGGAGCCTAAGCACTGTTGAAGGTGCAGAGGTGGAGTAGAGATAGACTGTGTCCTCCAGAAGCTTACTGTCTAGTTGAATAGTGACATAACCCACTCAGACATTTATTAAGGGGGGGGGCACCGTAGTAAGTGGCAGTCCAACTTTTTGAGGAGTTTGCAATGAATGAGTGGTTAAGTAGCAAGTACCAAACAATTCAGGCAGAACCGTGAACTTCCCATTTACTAGTATAAACCATTAAGTACTCAGAAAGTGGAGGAATCATTGTGGGTTGGAATGGCCTGTGAAGGCTTTCAGGACGTGCTGGGCTGAGGCAAAAACTCTGAGTTCTGGCTGTTTCTCCCATTCATGGGATCTGCTAGGTTCTCGAATAAAGCACAAAGAAATGAAGTGTTAATTTCCAAAACTTTAGGGACTCCAGTCAGTCTGTGACTAAAGGTTCTCTCTCAAGTGGCTCACTGCGGCTTCTGCTTCCTCTGGCCTTTTTCCCTTCCTGCCCAGTCCCACTGTACCTCTGTACCCCCTTCAAGGCCTATATGTGGTTATCTCTAGCTGTTCTGCATGCTTGTGTGGTGTAGCAATGCTGATGATGTGCTTTTTCCTTATTTTTTAAAAATCTTTTTGAATAGCAGTTTATATAGTTGAAAAACCGAAAGATATGTTTTTCAGTAAAAATTCACTCCCTTTCCTTATCCCTGCCTATGCCCTGACTTCTCTCTCCTTGCAGTTGTTATTAGTTTCTTATTGTTCAAGATTTTATGTCCATATAAGAAAACATAATTACTTTTCCTCCGTTTTGTCCAAAGATGGCATGTTTTATGCATGGTTTGATATCTTGCTTTTCTTCATTTCACAATATATCTGAGAGTTCTTTCCTCGTAGTAAATAGAGCACATCCTGGTTCTTTTCATCGCTGCATAGTATTCCACTGTATAGACACATGATAATTTATTTAACCAGCTCCCTGTTGTTGGTGACTTGGGTGGTTTTGATCTTTGCTATTCTAAAGCAAGCTGTAATGAATAACCGTGCAGGTCATTCACCTGTGTAAATACTACATACAGCAGTGAGCTAGTTCTAGTGGTCCGTGGGCGGGAAAAGAGGAAGTACGGGTTGAAAGGATTCAAACCCTGGCATGTTCTGTCAGGTCACATCATAACCCAGAAACCTGGTGATAACCTGATAAATATGTCTAATAATAGTAGATATTAGTCCCTGCCCTAACACCTATTTTATAAAGAGACTTGAGAAAACCCCAGTTTTGGCTTCTCCATGGCTTTCACCAGAGTTGTCCAATTTCCAAAGCTGTTTGTTTGGCCAGAGGTCATTGGTGGCATTTGCCATTACTGGGCCTGGGCAACTTCCTACTCTTCTAGAACTTGTTCTTCCAGAGTGCCTTCTGGCCCACTGTGAAATTCTCAGTGCCGTGTGACCTTGCTTTTTGTAGGCGGGCCCATCTTCGCTTGTGCCTGGAGAAGTTGAAGGGGCTGGTTCCACTTGGGCCCGAATCGAACCGACACACTACATTGAGTTTATTGACAAAAGCCAAATTACACATAAAGGTAAGTATATCCTTGGGATTCCTTTTTAGCTTTACCTGTCTAATAAGGGTTTGTCTGTTTATGAGGGACAGCAAATGTGTATCTCCAGGACAGTCCTTTCCTCTAGGGAATCCTCCAACCTGCCTCTTAGATGATCTCTGGCATGCCAAACCCAACATGTCCAGAACCCAACTATTTCTCACCCCTATGTAGCAGAAGTGAAAGGGCCCTCCAGTTGTCCATTTATTAAGCCAGAAACTCCGGGTCATCCTTGCTAGCCCTTGCTCTGTAGCCATATATATATCTAAGTCCTCTCCAAGACCTAAATATTTCACAGGCTCACTCCCATTTCACCCACCGTCATCTACTGCAGTGAACTCCTCAGAGGCCTCCCTGTATTTCTTCTGGCTGCCTCTGAGCTAAGCTCTGTGCTTCCCAAGAATAATCCTTCCAAAGTCAAGTCAACATGTCACCCGGTTTAAAATTCATCAGTGGCTCAGGACAGACTGTCAGCAGGCCTGCCCCAGGCTGTGTGACCTGGCCCTCACCTGCCTGTACAGCAGCGTCTTGTGCCCTACGCCCTTTCAGCCCCTTGCACTTGTCATGCTCTTACCACAGGGCCTTTGTACGTGCTGTTCCCTCTGTGTGGTATGCTTTCCCCTCCCTTCTTCACCTAGTTAACTTCTTGTCATCCTTTAGATCTCAACACAGGTATCACTAGCTCAGAGAAACCTTTCCTGACCTGCTTATATCCTTCCTGCCACAGATGGAGTTATTATTGGATCTCTCTGTTAGCACTTATCACAGTTGTCATCTGACCATGGTTTGTGTGACTGTTTGGTTGTCTCCATTGTCGGAGGAGGGGATGAGGTCTTTATGCTCACCTTGTACCCCCAGCACCTCCCAGAGGGTCTGAAACAGAGTCTGCATGTAGCACGTAGCTTGAATAGCAAAAGGTGAGGGAGTGGAGTGGTATTCAGACTCCTGCAAGCCACAGCCAAAACTCACTGTTTACTAATAATCCTTTAGTCATTATTGGACAAATGCCACTTTAATTATGGTTAGTGGCATGCATACATGACAATTCTGGAGGGAAAAAGAACCTCTGTTTAGAGCAACATAACCACAGTTAAACAGATTTATAAAAACAAGTGGTCTTTGGAAAGCCGTTTAAGCTCTTACGTTGGACAATTTGGAATCAGGACTTCAAGACTGATTGTCCCCTGCTACCAAACAGTTGGTTGAGATTTGGAATAACTCGATATAATTAGATATATATGTTGATTGATATATATATATATAATGTTATATAGAACACATTAACTATTGCTAATAATATATATATAATTAGATATATGTATGTTGATATAATTAGACCATGTAGCTGACGAGCCCTCCTTCTGCATGGCCCACGCCGGGCTCTAGTTCAGAGAGCGGGGTTCAGGGTGTCACCACAGACCGGGCGGTGGGGGGCTGCTGGCTCTTCCCCGGCGTTAGAGGGGCCGAGCTCAGCCCCAGCACCCCTGTGACGGTGCTGCAGAGCCCGAGGCGGGAGGCCCCGGCCCCCGGCCCGCCCTGGGAGAAGCTAGGCAAGTGACACCCAGTGGCTTCTGAGGAAAACTGGCCTAGTTCGCGGCTCGAGGGCAAGACGCGGAGTCCTTGGCAATTTTGAAATCGGCCTGCGGGCTCCAACAACTACCGCTTTGACTTGCAGAAACTTGAAGATTGTGACAGAAAAGCCATTCACCAAATAGACCAGCTCCAGCGAGAGCAGCGGCACCTGAAGCGGCAGCTGGAGAAGCTGGGCATCGAGAGGATACGGATGGACAGCATCGGCTCCACGGTCTCCTCGGAGCGCTCGGACTCCGACAGGGGTGAGCGCCCGCGCCTGCCTGCGTGCCTGCGTGCCTGCGTGCGTGCGTGCCTGCGTATGTGCCTGCGTGCGCGCGCGCGCCTGCCGGTGCCTGCCTGCGTGCGCGCGCATCCCCAGAGGCAGCGCGGGGGAGGAACGGAGACCCGGGCGGAGGGCGAGTCACGGGACCTCCAGGAACGAGCCCCTCCTTCCTTTTCGCACTTAGGCCGCGGGTCCGGAGCAGGGGCTGGCGTGGGGGTTCGGCGCGAGCGCCCCGCAGCCCGCCCTCACCCGTGTCTCTTATCCTCCCCACAGAAGAAATCGACGTGGACGTTGAAAGCACAGACTATCTCACGGGCGACCTGGACTGGAGCAGCAGCAGCGTGAGCGACTCGGACGAGCGGGGCAGCATGCAGAGCCTGGGCAGCGACGAGGGCTACTCCAGCTCCAGCATGAAGAGAATAAAGCTCCAGGACAATCGCAAGACGTGTCTGGGCCTCTAAGAGCGCGGGGTCGCCGTGGCTGCCTCCCGGAGGGCTCTGCCGGCCGAGCGGATTAGGTAGTGTATCGGACCCAGCCACAGTCCCCTTGCACGTAAGCTTCCGTGTACCACCTGTACCAGAATCAGCTCTGTAAACGTTTTCCAGGAAGTGCTTAGGATTGTGGGTTTGACTGCATCCACTAGCTTCTCTTTCTCTCCATAAAAATCCGTCTGCCAGACTGTACATTCCAATCAATTTGAAGCACCCAAGAATTCTTAGGCCGAATAAGCAACTTTCACAGCTCAGCAATCTCCCCCTCTTATGTACTGTCCCTGGGTAGTCTAGCAAACCTTTCTTAAAGTTTTCTGGCTGTGTTACTCACCTATAGCAGAAATGTCCGAATGTGTCTTGTGCTTAGCAAACTGAAGGAAACAAACTTTAAAAGTTGAGATCCTGATCTCAGAACTCCAAAGTAAGCTTTGAAAGCGGCATTTAAGAGCACTTCACCGTGGACCTCACCCCCCC